AAGAGGCCAAGAAGAAACACCTAATAATAACAATGTTTTTCAAGAAAGAACAAGCCACTCACCCGGTTGATTCGTCTCTCTGACCTACTGCCGCTGCTGGTCCACCACCCACCTCTCCACCAACCACCACTGCATCACCCTCTTCCAACAGTGATTCTGATGACCTCCCTATGCTTCAGTAACCAGAATTCATTCTACTGTGCAGTACACTTCATCAGGCTCCAAACTTCCACATACAAAGGAGAGTAGTACAGTAATGGTTTATCATAAACACAATATAGATGCACTAAGGTAATATAAGTGCTAGTTGTGGTTTTGCCAATTCAAGCTATTCTTTAGAACCTAAACCCCACGAATAGCAAACATTCACTATAATGAATCAGTTACATTTTAACACCTATTTTCCATTAAACAAGGCAAGCCATTAACTGTAACATGGTCAATATAAATGTAGGACATTTGGTTTGGGCCAGGGTGGCTTGGCCCCTAACCTAACCGTGGCCACTGCAAACGTCCGCTCACCGTCAAAATAGCCACCCAAAATGTGCAGGCACACATCTATCACTATTGTAAGCTCGGAAAAAAACTACCGTACAGTTGGGGTCCGATGATTTTCCAGCTGAACATTCCTGTTGTCTCGCGAGGGTTGGTAGGCCTTAATGTGAGACATTTCGTACTTAATTTGGTAGGCCAAAATTAGCTATTTCATTGACAATATTGAAATACTTTGTTACAATACGGCTGGAGAATGTCAGTATATCTAGATAAGTTAAACTGTATGTTATATTAAATGTTCCACACACACTTTGGACTACAGTAACCATGGAAGTGGATGAGTTGCCATAGAGGAATGCATTATATGTTAGGCAGAATTAGTGGATATAGTAAAGGTAGAACATTATTTTGCAACTGAATTTTGAATCTGTATTTGTATTGCTGCTTCACTTTGGGCTAATGCCACATTATGTCCTTCTTCATCCTTAATGGAAAATATACCAAGCTGTTCCGAAACATCTGAACAGCTCCACAGTTTTGCATGCCGTCATAATCGAACCCATCCCAACGACGTTTTACCACATGGTCGATAATTCCCAGTTAATCTAATACGTACCGAGTTTCGTTTCAGAGTGCCGATCACTTGTTTCGAGCACGTGTGGCTAAACCCACACACGGTCAGGGCTACCAATGTGGTGTCAGTTTGTTTCGTACAGGAATTGTAACGGTAGTCTTTTTACCGAGTGTACAATACCTGTACAAAGTTCATTATTTTAAATGTATTCTTTCTCTACCATTATTCACACAGTCCATACAGAACAGTACAGTGGTGAACTTGCATAAAAAAACAGCAAAGTTAACCAACAATTTCCCTCCATACTGTATATGTTATCACTTAACCTGACTCCTTCATATATCAGGTGATGCCTGTACACTTAATGTCACCAAGAAAAATATGCTGACATGTTAAACACATCCACAGCATCAACCTTGTTTCTTCTTGCTGGTGATAAGGAACCAAACACAACTCTACCTAATATAAACAGAACTGATTGTACAAATATTTTACACCTGAAAGGTTATTCACAAATATTCTATGTATTTGTGAAGTCACGGTACTGAAGCAATTATTTCATTCAATAGCAAAATTCTTTGTTTTACACACATACACACGCACACCAATACCGGTAAGCGACGCATAAAGGGACCGAGAAAAGTCGTTGGTTAGTGAATCAACGGTCATTGAAGCGATTAATCCCACAAGAACATAATAAATTCAGGGGTTAGGGACTGGCTACCTTCCCAAAACTCCCATTTATCCTTGATATAGGTATCTCTATACTGCTCACTGTCAACCAAGAAAATAAATCAGACATATAAAGTGAGAATAATAAGCCTAAATAAGCATTATAAAGCATACATTGAGACTTATTTACTAGTGTTGAGGATGGTAGAGACGGTCTAGAGAGGCAAGTTTAAGTCTCTGTTGCTCTTTACTGGTCCATCACCATTCTTACTGTTTCTTATTATGTTGTATTACACCTATTTATGCCTTATTATTCTGTATTACACTTTATTATGCTGTATTACACCATATTATGCCTAATTATGCTGTATTACACCATAATATGCCTTAATATGTTGTATTACACCTTATTATGCTGTATTACACCTTATTATGCTGTATTACACTTTATTATGCTGTATTACACCTTATTATGCTGTATTACACTTTATTATGCTGTATTACACCTTATTATGCTGTATTACACTTTATTATGCTGTATTACACCTTATTATGCTGTATTACACTTTATTATGCTGTATTACACCTTATTATGCTGTATTACACTTTATTATGCTGTATTACACCTTATTATGCTGTATTACACTTTATTATGCTGTATTACACCTTATCACATCACATCTAGTTGTCAAGCACAAGAGAAACTATCACTGGGGTGTTTAGGCATGACACTAAAACACTAAGACTGAAATAAAAAAAAAACACAAAGTCAGAGACACAAAGTAAGAGCAAAGAGCACAGATGGCAGGAATGAATCGGAGACAGTGAGCAGAGACCTCTGGTGGTAAGAGTTCTCACCGAGCGTCTGATTTCCAGGTATCAACAAAACTTATGGGGTATTTCCCCAATATGTAATCGTCAGTTATGTGAATTTCAGGTCAATAGGACGTCAGTTATGTGAATTGCAGGTCAACAGGACATCAGTTATGTGAATCGCAGGTCAACAGGATGTCAGTTATGTGAATCGCAGGTCAACAGGACGTCAGTTATGTGAATCACAGGTCAACAGGATGTCAGTTATGTGAATCGCAGGTCAACAGGATGTCAGTTATGTGAATCGCAGGTCAACAGGACATCAGTTATGTGAATCGCAGGTCAACAGGATGTCAGTTATGTGAATCGCAGGTCAACAGGACGTCAGTTATGTGAATCGCAGGTCAACAGGATGTCAGTTATGTGAATCGCAGGTCAACAGGACGTCAGTTATGTGAATCGCAGGTCAACAGGACATCAGTTATGTGAATCGCAGGTCAACAGGATGTCAGTTATGTGAATCGCAGGTCAACAGGACGTCAGTTATGTGAATCGCAGGTCAACAGGATGTCAGTTATGTGAATCGCAGGTCAACAGGACGTCAGTTATGTGAATCGCAGGTCAACAGGACATCAGTTATGTGAATCGCAGGTCAACAGGATGTCAGTTATGTGAATCGCAGGTCAACAGGACGTCAGTTATGTGAATCGCAGGTCAACATCACGTCAGTTACGTGAATCACAGGTCAACATCACGTCAGTTACGTGAATCACAGATCAACGTGACATCGGTTATTGGGTTCACCTGTATATGTGTGTGTGTATATAATAGGAATCAAAGTATTACTTGAGGAATATATCTATTATATACATTGGCTTTATGTCCCCTACTGTTAACTTTGTTTCAAATGTCATAAGTTTCTTGTGAGAAGAGTACAGTACAAGTGTAATTATTGGTTATCCTGTACCTGTATATGTGTGAACTGTAGGAAGGATTGAGGAATATATCTATTATATACATTGGCTTTATGTCCCCTACTGTTAACTTTGTTTCAAATGTCATAAGTTTCTTGTGAGAAGAGTACAGTACAAGTGTAAAATTATCCTGTACCGTAATGAACAATACTGTACAGGATTGTATTTATCCTAGTATATTTATCACTGACTTATACTCATTAAGTATTGAACATGTAATTGTAAAATTATAGTGGTGGCAGAGGAGGAGGAGGCGAGGGGTGGGGGAGGAGGAGGCTGGGGGGGAGGGGGAGGGGAAGAAGGGGAGGGAAGGAGGAGGAGAGGGAGGAAGGAGAACGTCAGGAGGAGGAGGAGAGAGGGAGGACGTCAGGAGGAGGAGGAGGAAGGAGAACGTCAGGGGAGGAGGAGGGGGAGGAAGGGAGGACGTCAGGAGGAGATAGGAGGGATGGAGGAGGGAGGGAGGAGGGAAAAGGAAGGAAGGAGATCGGAGAGAAGGAGGTCAAAAGGAGATAGGAGGGGAGGGAGGACGTCAGGGAGGAGATAGGAAGGACAGAGGAGGGAGGGAGGGAGGAGGAGGGAGGGGAAGGGAGGAGGAGGAGGAGGAGGAGGAGGAGGAGGGAGGAGGAGGAGGAGGAGGAGGAGGAGGGAGGAGGAGGAGGAGGGAGGGAGGGAGGAGGGAGGAGGGAGGTCAGGAAGGAGGAGGGGGAGGGAGGGAGGACGTCAGGGAGGAGAGGGAGGAAGGAGGACGTCAGGGAGGAGGAGAGGGAGGAAGGGAGGATCAGGGAGGAGGAGGGGGAGGAAGGCGTCAGGGGAGGAGGAGGAGGAAGGGAGGTCAGGGAGGAGGGGAGGAGGGAGGAGGAGGAGGAGGAGGAGGACGTCAGGGGAGGAGGGAGGAGGAGGAGAGGACGTCAGGGGAGGAGGAGGAAGGGAGGACGTCAGGGAGGAGGAGGAGGAAGGGAGGAGGAAGGAAGGGAGAATGTCAGGGAGGAGGAGGAGGAAGGAGGACGTCAGGGAGGAGGAGGGGAGGAAGGAGGACGTCAGGGGAGGAGGAGGAGGAAGGGAGGACGTCAGGGGAGGAGGAGGGGAGGAAGGGAGGACGTCAGGGAGGAGGAGGGGAGGAAGGAGGACGTCAGGGGAGGAGGGGGAGGGGGAGGACGTCAGGGAGGAGGAGGGGGAGGAAGGAGGACGTCAAGGAGGAGGAGGAGGAGGAGGAGGAAGGGAGGACGTCGGAGGAGGAGGAAGGAGGGAGGAGGAGTTGGAGGAAGGGAGGACGTCAGGGAGGAGGAGGAGGAAGTCAGGGAGGAGGGAGGGAGGAAGGGATGACGTCAGGGAGGGGAGGGAGGGGAGGAAGGAGGAGTCAGGGAGGAGGAGGGGGGGAGGGAGGACGTCAGGAGGAGGAGGAGGAAGGGAGGACGTCAGGGAGGAGGAGGGGAGGAAGGGAGGACGTCAGGGAGGAGGAGGGGAGGAAGGGAGGACGTCAGGGAGGAGGAGGGGGAGGAAGGGAGGACGTCAAGGAGGAGATACGAGGGAGGGAGGAGGAGAAGGAAGAAGATAATAAATAAATCATTTCCTTCAGCTACATCAACATAAGACCTTAACAAACCTTCACTTTACAGTAATAGTTTTTATCATAACTTTTACTGATCTACTCTAAGTCTTCTACCCACAACACATAGTCATTTACTGCACCAAAAATACAGAATTTTATCTTGACACATTTCAGAAGGTTGACATCATCCCTTCCTTTGGTTCTTTTGTTTCCTTGTCACCAGTAATATTAATCTATTGTTTACTAACTGTACAGACATATTTACAATTATATAAGGAACCATAACTACTGCATCATCAAATTCAAACACTTCTATAATTACTCTACACTGCAGCTCAAACTTTGCCTATTAATGTTATAACTATGACGCATCTCGGCTTTTATTCTATGTAATACACCGAGCTTTCTCACTACTATGGATCAACCTGTGTCTCTTCATATGACCAACCCGATTGAATGTTTTCCCACACTCAGGACACTCATGTGCTTTCTCACCACTATGGATCAACCTGTGTGTCTTCATACTACCAACCCGATTGAATGTTTTCCCACACTCAGGACACTCATGTGCTTTCTCACCACTATGGATCAACCTGTGTCTCTTCATACTACCAACCCGATTGAATGTTTTCCCACACTCAGGACACTCATGTGGTTTCTCACCACTATGGATCAACCTGTGTCTTTTCATATAACCAACCTGATTGAATGTTTTCCCACACTCAGGACACTCATGTGGTTTCTCACCACTATGGATCAACCTGTGTGTCTTCATACTACCAACCTGATTGAATGTTTTCCCACACTCAGGACACTCATGTGGTTTCTCACCACTATGGATCAACCTGTGTCTCTTCATATCACCAACCTGACTGAATGTTTTCCCACACTCAGGACACTCGTGTGGTTTCTCACCACTATGGATCAACCTGTGTCTCTTCATATTACTAACATGACTGAATGTTTTCCCACACTCAGGACACTCGTGTGGTTTCTCACCACTATGGATCAACCTGTGTCTCTTCATATCACCAACCTGACTGAATGTTTTCCCACACTCAGGACACTCGTGTGGTTTCTCACCACTATGGATCAACCTGTGTCTCTTCATATTACTAACATGATTGAATGTTTTTCCACACTCAGGACACTCGCATGGTTTATACTCACATTTGTTCAGCGTTGTTTCACAAGTCTGATTTTCTTTCAATATTTCTTTGTTTTTTGAGCCAGTACTTTCAGTCAATGTGTGAACACCTAAACCTGTTAATGTCTCTTTCTTCCTGGCCTGAACTTGTTTATTATTACTCTTGTGTGTTGGTTCATAATTTACTTGTATATTTCCTTCCATGTACAAGTCATCTCTTTTTAATCTGCAGGTTTTTGTGTCACTGTTCACTTTGACAAAATAATTCCCAGAGTGATAACTTTTTTCTTTACTTTCTAAATCATCAACAAATGTTTTTGTGGCCATAAAACTTTGACTTAAGTCTTGTCCACCATTTTTGTTTTCTTCAGTTGATATAACAGTACACTGTGCCTCAGCTTCCTCCCCACACAGCCTGGTGACAACACTGGTGGATTTGTTGCTGGATGAATGCACCAGGGGCTGATTTTTATCCTGATACCCTAAGGGAAAATCAGTGTTAGAAACAATACCCATAAATCATATAAAATACCTGAGGTATAACACACACTTATGTACAGTTCACCGTATGTATCTTGTGCTGTGCTGCACTGTACTACACTATAGTGTACTGTACTGCACTGCACTGTACTGCACTGCACTGTACTGTACTGTACTGTACTGTTGTAAAGACCACAGTCGTACATGTTAGTTAACGTAAAATCAGGCGATTCATATTATGCTCTATAGCCCACAAAACATGTAGCTATGACTTCTTCATTGAGTCCCCTATCTGAGGCGTTCATTTTCTCATCATTACAGGACGTCTGAGTCCTCCATTTCTCTCAATCTCAGAGAGCACCCGAGACTTCATCATTCCTCAGTAAAACGACACAAAATTTGAAATTGCAAATGCAGTTGCATATGTTAAGGCAAACTAGATATCTCTGATTACAGATGAAACATTCAAGGTCCCTTGTGAGTGATATTGAAAGCTCCATATATCTTTTTTACTTTTATCCTCTTCACCACTAATCGGCTCGTTAGCCGCTTGGGCGATCGGTCACGTCTCTGATTACTTTTCCTTTTCTTTTATCCTCTTCACCAAAAGATCGGCTCGCTACCCACCCGGGCGATCGGTCACGCCTCTGTCACACACTGTTGGCAAGTACTGGCCATGCACCGGCTCCTGAATGTACCTGAACCCGCTCCAGTGTTGGTCAAGTCTTGTCTTGAAAGAGCTCACACTTGGTGCCGTCACAACACTTTCTGGTAAATTGTTCCAGGAGTTCAAAACCCTCACTCCGAAAAAGTTTGCCCTCACAGTTTTCTGGACTTGCGGCTTCTTCAATCTTGAGCTGTGACCACTTGTGGGGCGAGCGTCCGCCAGCCCCAAGTAAGGACACTCGACTGAGTAGTGCCCCTTGAGATGCTTATACACCTCAACTAGGTGTATAACCATGAGTTTCCAAATGCTACTGAAGTTAGATTATTTTGATGCCAAAACATCAGAGAATCTGATGTTTGTAGTTTAGTTAGAGCCAGTTGTCTATTTAAGAAAGTCATTAATATCCTGAAAAGATTGTCAAACTCAAAATCTCCAAGACCTAACGGCTCCCCAGGAAGAGTTCCTTGTTGTTGTTTTGCGGTTTCCGGAAAAGTAGAGTTGTTAGTGTGTGTATTTGACGTTCATTTCACTTTTTCCTGACAAGCTCAATCTCTGATTAGATTATAAAAATAGACATAAGAAATTCACCTGACCCATGACACTCATTTTCATAGTTGAGTGTACAGCGACTGAGTTGTATAGAATTTCTGTCGTTGGTGAGATTAGCCTTTCCGGCATGCCTGCATAGGCCGGAACTCCCCGAAGCCCGTATATAAACGAATGCACGAAGAAGACTCACACGCTCGTGACTCTTCCTCAACACATCTCCAGGTATGTGAACGGTTGTTTGCAGACGCCATGTTTAGTCAGTTTAACTCAGTCGAATTTTGTGAATATCAGTGTTCATGTTTTAACATAGTGAAATGATCATATGCCAAGTATAATTTAAATAAAGTAAGTATTATCTGTATTGTTGCCAGATGTATAGTTATGTGCAGTTGAGTTGGACATTTACACGCTCGTGACTCTTCCTCAAAGCATCTCCAGGCACTGTCTGTGTTGTCACCACTAGTGAGGGTCGGTAGCTGCCTATGGGCAAGATGGTCTTTGAAGGATGTCTTTAATATGGCAAAGACAATGCATCGAGTCTACCCCGGGCGCTACTAGCGAACGAGCTTTGGCTTTTTTGTGTAGTAAACAACCCGTGCGACCAGTGCACTCAGTCTTGTCCGGTTCATTGATCTTGGTTATATGTATTAAGCAGTGTTGGTATCCATGATTGTGGATAATTAGCAAAAATATAGTTATCCCATGTTGAGTATTGACCCAAAAATATTGGTATTACCAGTGATAACATTTGTTATAGGGGTTGTGAGTCCATCACTCATGCGTACTACCAACTGAGTCCTACCTATTATTGTTAAACCTGATTGGGGATAATTAACAGACATAGTTATCCCATGTTGAGTATTGACCCATAAATATTGAGATGACCAGTAATAATGTTGTTTTATGGGTTGTGGCCTTCATATGTACTACCAACTGAGTTCTAGTTAGAGTGCCATGTTGTTCATTCCCAAATAACATGATGTGCTAACTAATAACTTAGTTTGGGGTATTGTCAAGTGTGTCATATAATCATCTACATTGACAATGAAATAATAGGGATGAGTGTGTAATGTTATAACCATGAAATGAAGATCTATTTTGCTACTCGTAAAGTAAGACCTAAGTGGTGCAGTCTTGTCTGAGTGTACTTAATTAACATCTTGTTCACTCCTTATGTTAATAGATATTGAATTAGTAAACTACGAGTATCGTCGCTCTATTCCTTCTACCCGTTGGTTCTCAGGAAAAAACTATTGTAACTCACGTGCCTAGAAGCTCGCTAGCAAGCTACCTAACAGTTCAATGATATGTTATATTCTAATAAAAGTCTGGGTGGTTGCAGACTACCGTGGTAAGTGTACTAAGTGTTATAGTAAGAATGACTTGGGTTTTCTCAGACTAATCCATGGTATAGAACATAACTTAAGCGGGATAATAAATTGAAAGAAAGAAAGGATATAAAGTTTAGAAAATACAATAATATATATGACTAAGATATAAATATTGAAGAATAGAATAAATATAAAGTCTAAAAAAGAGCCTCCTTACACTGGTCTGTACTGTACTATACTACAGACGGGCAAGGGGTGACCTAGTTGAGGTGTATAAGCATCTCAAGGGGTCCTACTCAGTCGAGTGTCCTTACTTGGAGATGGCGGACGCTCACCCCACAAGGGGTCACAGCTCAAGATTGAAGAAGCCCCAAGCCCAGAAAACTGTGAAGGCAAACTTTTTCGGAGTGAGGGTTGTAAACTCTTGGAACAATCTACCAGACAGTGTTGTGACGGCATCTAGTGTGAGCTCTTTCAAGACAAGACTTGACCAACACTGGAGCGGGATCAGGTACATTCAGGAGCCGATGCATGCCCAGTACTTGCCAACAGTGCGTAACAGAGACGTGACCAATCGCCCAAGCAGCTAACGAGCCGATCTTTTGGTGAAAAGGATAAAAGAAAAGGAAAAGTAATCAGAGACGTGACCGATCGCTCAAGCGGCTAACGAGCCAATCAGTGGTGAAGAGGATAAAAACAAAAAAACAAAACTGTACTGTACTGTACTGTCCTGCATTGTACTGTGCTGTGCTGCACTGCACTGCAATGTACTGTACTACACTGCACTGTACTGCACTGCACTGTACAGTACTGTATCTCAGCACAAATGCAGTTACATTGAGATGATCACTTCATTAATACAGAACAATACTCTAATAGTTTACTGAGGTATTATTGGCTGGTTATATGCTGGTACAGTAATGTACAGTACACTACAGTACGGTAATACAGAGGAAACAGCACAAGAAGCTCCTGCAGGACTTGAAGCAGAAGAGGGCGGAGTCGAGGAGGAACGGGGACAGGTGTACATGGGTTATACTCAGGGGGAGGGTAGTGGAAACAAGTGTGCCGACACAGGGCCAGGGGGCAGCAGTGCACCCTCCACCCACTCAACCCCCCCACCCAGGAGGCAGCACCAGCTCAGCCTACCGGACAGGAGGGGACGAGCGCCGTGTAAACAATGACATTTCTAACCACACCCTGCAAAATACAGTTTACTTAGCAAATGCTGCAGCTTCTGAGAATGTGGGGGGAGCGGGTTTATTACTAAGAGCAGAGACATTACCGAGAACAAATTCTGGCTTGAATGTCATGTACACTAATACTGACACGTTCCTTGATAAGAGAGAGGAGTTTGAAACACTACTAAGAGTACACCAACCAGATATTGTAGGAGTTGTAGAACTGTTGTACAAGAACAGGAGAATCGACCCAGAGGAATGTGAGTTCAGTATTGCTGGATATGACTCATTTACGAACCTATCTCAAGAATCCTGCAGGAGGGGTGTGGTTATCTACGCTAGGCAAGACCTTAGAGCCAGCAAGGCGAGGGTACAGGGAGAGGATGTTTTTGAAGAGTCCAAGTGGTGTAAAATTAAATTAAAAGGAGGGGACTTACTTATCGTCGGATGTATCTACAGATCCCCAAACTGTGGCCCACTAAATCAAAGGAACTTAAGAACCTTAATAAACAATGCGGAGATGCTCAACCCTAGCCACCTCCTTATCATGGGGGACTTTAACTATGGCGACATCGACTGGAGAAACGAGTCCACCCCGAATGACTTGAATAACCCAGTTACTCTTTTCGTAGAAACTCTGAGAGATAATTTTCTGTTCCAACATGTGAGAGACCCGACACATTACAGAGGGGAGCAAACACCCAAGCCACTTGACCTCATCATAACAAACGAGGATGGTATGGTGGCCAAACTGGAACACCTTGCCCCAGTTGGCACCAGTCACCATACAGTGTTGTCATTCAGATTTAACTGTTACCTAGTTCAAGATAAGGCCAGGCCAAGGTGCAAATACTACAAGGGAATTTACAATGGGATGAGGGAAGAGATGAGGGGTATCAACTGGCCTGACTTATTAAGGTACAAAAACGCAGACACTACGCTGAATATCATAACTAGTAAAATGACCCATTTGATCGATAAATATATACCCAAGACCAAACCCAGTGCTTCTAAGAATACGAGGGGATCACTACAAATGAACCATGCGGCGGTCAACAAAATTAAGAATAAAACCCAGAAATTCAAGATGTGGGTTGGGTCAAACGATGAGCAAGACAGGAGGATGTATGCAAGAGCCAGAAACCAAGCAAAGATAGAGTGTAGGAGGGCTGAAAAGGAGTTCCAGAGGCTGGTTGCACGCGAGGTCAAGTCAAACCCAAAGGCATTTTACCGCTATGCAAAGTCGAAATTGAAAACGCGCGTAGGAGTATCAGACCTGAGGCTTGAAGATGGTAGTTACGCAGATTCTGACCAGAATAAAGCTGAGGCATTGAACAGCTTCTTTTCCTCAGTGTTCACAAGAGAGGATGCAACTAACCTTCCTGCGTTTGAGGACAGACGGTTCGACACAACACTGACCCACATTGTGTTCACAGAAGAGGGTATTAGAAATAAACTGTCCAGGCTAAAGGTCCATAAGAGTCCCGGACCTGACATGGTGCATCCTAGAGTGCTAAGAGAGCTGTGTAACGAGCTTGCAGAGCCCCTGAAGATCCTGTTTTGTAAATGCCTGGATGAACAAATGGTCCCCAGTGAATGGAAAGTGGCTTATGTGAGTCCTATCTTCAAGAAGGGCGATAGTCACTCCACGAACAACTATAGACCGGTGAGCCTGACCAGCATAATATGTAAAGTACTTGAGAGTATTATCAGAGATGCCGCGATGGAACATCTACTACGAAACAACCTTGTAAAAGATTGCCAACACGGTTTTATGCCGGGGCGCTCTTGCTTAACACAATTGCTCAAGGTATTGGATATTTGGACCCATATTCTGGAACGGGTTGGTAATATCGACAATATTTACCTAGATTTTGCCAAGGCTTTCGACAGTGTACCCCACGAAAGGCTGAAAATCAAACGGGAAGGGTACGGAATTCGGGGAAATGTCCTAGCGTGGATAGAAGACTTTCTACATGACCGCAAGCAGTGTGTGGTGATTAATGGCATGAAAACGTCATCTTACCTGTAACAAGTGGGGTACCACAGGGCAGTGTATTGGGCCCGCTGTTGTTTGTTTGTTTCATAAATGACATGCCTGACGTTGTACACTCCTCCGATGATGGCAAGTTATTTCGGGAAATTAAGAACCAAACGGACTGTGAAGAGCTGCAGAAGGACCTCTGTGGGCTCCAGGAATGGTCGAAGAAATGGCTGCTGAGATTCAATGTCACGAAGTGTAAGAGGATGCACCTGGGGCGTACCAACGGTAAGGAGGCGTATTATATGTCCCAAAGGGATGAAGAAACTGCACTAGTTGAGACTGAATGTGAGAAGGACCTAGGTGTGTATGTTGACAATGAGCTGAAGTTCTAGGGCCATTGTGAGAAGAAGGTAAATCAGGCAAATAAATTATTGGGTCTTATAAGAAGGTCGTTCAGATATCTAGACGGTACTTTCAGTCAATGTGTGAACACCTAAACCTGTTAATGTCTCTTTCTTCCTGGCCTGAACTTGTTTATTATTACTCTTGTGTGTTGGTTCATAATTTACTTGTATATTTCCTTCCATGTACAAGTCATCTCTTTTTAATCTGCAGGTTTTTGTGTCACTGTTCACTTTGACAAAATAATTCCCAGAGTGATAACTTTTTTCTTTACTTTCTAAATCATCAACAAATGTTTTTGTGGCCATAAAACTTTGACTTAAGTCTTGTCCACCATTTTTGTTTTCTTCAGTTGATATAACAGTACACTGTGCCTCAGCTTCCTCCCCACACAGCCTGGTGACAACACTGGTGGATTTGTTGCTGGATGAATGCACCAGGGGCTGATTTTTATCCTGATACCCTAAGGGAAAATCAGTGTTAGAAACAATACCCATAAATCATATAAAATACCTGAGGTATAACATCTTGTGCTGTGCTGTGCTGTGCTGCACTGCAGGGCTGCCGTAATTCCGGCTGTGTTTTACCAAACACTCTGATTGGTTATCTTCCTCGCGTTGTGACTGGCTACGAGACCATGGCATCAAAAAACGTTTTCTTTGTTAAATGCGATACATATATAGGATACCAGTAACAATTTTTTTCCTTTTTACTATTATTATGCATATATATAGTATGAAGTATTGCACAATATATTCTTTAAACAACTTTAAAATTAGGTGGAGCAGTACAGTATCATATTGAATACAAGAGATAAAAAGGGTTCAAGAAGTAGAAAATGGAATGATACCACGAGTGACTATCATAGAAAATGCATTGTTAAAAAGGATAACTATTATAATGTATAATGTTAAGTGTCTGATAAAATAACAACAAATAAAGAGCTAACAGTAAAAGATGGATGGGTTCGCTTTGCTGGCCAGGTTCCCCTCCACCCCAATACTTCCTGGACCCCTCCCATATTCCTGGATCCGTCCCTGGAACCCAAACATGGAACAGGAAGTAATGACCGTCTTGTGTTCCTAGTAGACGTCATCCTCTCGTGCTAACTCATCATAAAGCAGTATTGCTAAACTATCAATTATAAAATGAAGGAAATAAAATAAAATACCTTCATAATTATTCTAAATCATTTGTATTTTTCATTTGACCCCAACAAAGACCTAATTAACAATTTCGGTATTTTGGATACAGTGACGTCACGGTCTACCGACTACATCATCGAATATCATTTTTTACTGTCCAGCAGACGAATTTCCGTCAAACAGCAGCACTGCACTGCACTGAACTGGACTGGACTGGATTGTACTGTACTGTACTGTACTGTGCTGTATTGCATTGCACTGTACTGCACTGTACTGTACTGTATCTCAGCACAAGTGCAGTTAAATTGAGATGATCACTTCATTAATACAGAACAATACTCTAATAGTTTACAGAGGAGAGGTTTACTGGGGTATTATTGGCTGGTTATATGCTTACTTTACTTTTTTACTTTTATCCTCTTCACCAAAAGATCGGCTCGTTGGCCGCTTGGGTGATCGGTCACGTCTCTGTTACGCACTGTTGGCAAGTACTGGGCATGGACCGGCTCCTGAATGTACCTGAACCCGCTCCAGTGATGGTCAAGTCTGGTCTTGAAAGAGCTCACACTCGGTGCCGTCACAACACTCTCTGGCAGATTGTTCCGAGAGTTCACAGCTCTCACTCCGAAAAAGTTTGCCCTCACAGTTTTCTGGACTTGCAGCTTCTTCAATCTTGAGCTTTGACCCCTTGTGGGGCGAGCGTCCGCCAGCTCTAAGTAAGGGCACTCGACTGAGTAGTGCCCCTTGAGATGCTTATACACCTCAATTAGGTCACCCCTTGCCCGTCTGTAGTATAAGCTAGGCAAGTTCAGACGCTCCAATCTCTCAGGGTAGCTGAGGTGCCGAAGGGCAGGCATCAGTCTGGTGACCCTCCTTTGGACATTTTCAATCAACTGACAATCCCTAGAATATCTCAGGAATCAGACAGGGTGACAGTACTCCAAGCGGTGAAGCACCTCGCTCTTGAAAATCGCTATGAGAGACAGACCATCTAGATTTCTGAACGACCTTCTTATAAGAACCAATAATTTAGTTGCCTGATTCACCTTCTTCTGACAATGGCCCGAGAACTTCAGCTCATTGTCAACATACACACCTACTGTAGGTCCTTTTCACATTCAATCTCAATTCAGGCAACTTCTTCATCCCATTGGGATATATGATACCTGTTCTGAAAGTTTAGTCAATATCCACTCAAACAATTTCTAATTATTTTGTGAACAAAAAGATGGATGAAAAGAGACCACTGTGCCTTGCATCACAATATGATCATAAAATAGTGGACAAGAGAAAAATATCTTACTGTTAGGTGCCTTCTCAGAAGATTTCCATCTAAAGGTTTCTCTGGACAATCCAAGTTCCAAGCCATACTCATCTCCATACCAAACCATCAACTCAGCACCTCTGAAACATAAGTTACACATTCATTCAACTGCTACTTTGAGGTTTGGGAAAGTCATTAATAAAATGAATAGGCCTGTATAAAGCTGACAAGCAAAAAGAAACAAGGGATTAAGATGTACTTAACGAATGGCTTTTTCCTTTTTCTCACATGATATCATGTAAATAACATAAGTTACTACAGTATTTTCTCAATTTAATGAACTAATTCAAGCCAACCCTTTCTGTTAAATCGAAACTTCCACTAAATCGAATTTACGATATTTTTGCTCGATTTAGCAAACTATTTCACTAAATAGTGCGTGATTCCGTTAAATTCCAAGCCAAATGAGCTGCTTGACGCATGGGGTTTGTTTACATCTGTTCAATCTGTATCCTGCCACCAAAGTGTGTGTTGTTCACTGCTACATCTTGATCAACTAACTATTATACTTAGCCATCAGGTCGAAAGTCTCCCAGAAATCTGAGAAAGGAAGTGGTGTGGGGGAGAAAGTCAAAAGAGTGTGGCTATCAACTGGAAAAAAAGTTTGGAAATAATAGAAAAATTTGAAAATGAACACCGAACCCCCTAGTTTAAGGTAAGCCATGAATAATGTTTCTAGTGGCTCTATGTACAATGAAAGACAAAAGTCGTGTCGTGAAATTTAGTGAAAATGTATGCCTTAAGGCTACACTTTTGGTGCTCTCTGCCTTGTGGTGGGGCTCTCAAAATGTTTCACGAGTTATATTTAATCTTCGGACAAAACCTCGACACGACTTTTGTCTTTGATTGTACATACAGTATCATGTGTCTGAGGTGTCTCTGTAGATGTGAGCATATTAACAGAATTAATCTTGATTTAGTTTACTAGTTCACTAAATCGAGAGAAAAATAATGGATAAAATTCCTTCCGCTGAATCGAAAGTTCGTTATATCGGATTCTGTTAAATCGAGAGTACAGTGGTCCCTCGGTTAACGAACGCCTCGATTAACAAAATTTCGGTTAACGAATTACCTTCCATAAGATTCTTCACTTCGGTTAACGAAAAAATTTTGGTTAACTAATTCCTTATGAATTTTTCCCAACATGTTTTCGCTTGCATTTGGCTGTTCACCAGCTGTAGTATTAGTCCGCCAATACAGTAATCGGTTCTAGGGCTTAAATTCCTTATCGTTTTAGTAAATATCAAGAAGGTTGTACTATTCAATAATTTTAAAAGTTTTATATTACCTCGGTAAATTTTTTAGTCATTTAAACAATTATTGAACATAATTCAAGTACTGTATAGGAAACTAGTTTTTATGTGCGCCAAACAGCCACTCAACACACCAAGCTTGGTGTCAGTTTGTTTATAGGTTCAGAGGAAGGAGCATCTTGTTTGAGACTCTTCAACATAAATGCTTTTTTTGTTTCCAGTCAAATTATTGGTCATTTTGAAATATAATTTACATATTGATAATATATAGCACACTGCACTGTTTATTTAAAGAAATTTTTCTTTATTTACAGCAATAAAATTTAAAATTTCATTGTTGAAATCGAATCCAGCATGGCTCCAAAGAAATCGAGGAAAGTTATTTCAATCCGGGTAAAGCAGGAAATTATCAAGAAACTTGAACAGGGCATTAGAACAAATGTGCTTAGTAAAGACTATGGCATGTCGGCATCAACTGTGTCGACAATTCTTGCACAGAAAGACAAGTTTAAGGAAGTGAAAGTGAGAGACAAATCTACCAGACTGTTTAAAGGTAGATCCCTAATAACAGAAACAAAGAGGTTACTTCTCATTTGGATCAGGGAAAAGCAAATGAAAGGTGATTCAGTTTCTACAGAATTTATTTGTGAAAGAGCCAGGGAGATTTACAAACATTTAAAGGAAGATCAACCTGGTTCTTCTGGCACAGAGTTCGAAGATTTTAGGGCCAGCAAGGGCTGGTTTGAAAAATTTAAGAAAAGAAGTGACATTTTCAGTGTTATTAGGCATGGTGAGGCTGCAGGTGCAGATAAAGAAGCAGCAGCAAAGTTTGTAGTGGACTTTAACAAACTGGTGGATGAAGGAAATTATCTTCCACAGCAAGTGTTCAATGTGGACAAAACTGGGCTGTTTTGGAAGAAAATGCCCAAATGAACATTCATCACCAGAGATGAAGCCTCTTTACCTGGGCATAAACCCATGAAAGACCGTCTCACTCTATTGTTTGGTGCCAATGCTTCAGGGGATTTCCGATTGAAGCCTATGCTTGTCTACCACTCTGAGAACCCCAGGGTGTTCAAACAACAAAAAGTGGTAAGAGGAAAGCTTGGAGTTTATTGGAAGTACAACTGTAAGGCATGGGTGACAAGACAGCTCTTTAAAGAATGGGCTGATGAGGTGTTTTGCCCTTCTGTCAAGAGCTACCTAACCACCAATAAACTCCCTTTAAATGCTCTTCTCCTTATGGATAATGCCCCTGGTCAAGACCCTGAACTTGCCAGCACTTTGGAGGCTCAAGTTGAGTGTCAAAGTGTTGTTTTTGCCTCCCAACACTACATCAATCATGCAGCCAATGAACCAGAATGTGATCAGCAACTTCAAGAAGTTGTACATGAAGAAAATGTTCAGGAAGTGTTATCAGGCAACTTCCACTGATCCTGAACTAACACTGAAACAGTTCTGGAAGACACAATTCAACATCCTGGAGGCTGTAAAATTGATTGTGTCATCATGGCGAGAAGTCTCCATTAGATCCCTCAATTCTGCATGGAAAACACTGTGGCCATCCGCAGTCCATGATTTTGAGGAAGAAGCAGAGTTGGACAAGGAGATTGTGTCCATTGGTCAGCCATTGGGCCTCGAAGTGGAGGAGGATGATGTGGAAGAGCTTGTGATGTCTCCTGAAGACTTGCAGCAACTGGATGAGATGTTAGAGGCTGACAGCGGTGAGGAGGAAAGGGAAAGTGATGACCATATGTCTACTTCAGATTTGAAAGATGTTGTTCACTACTGGGATAAGTTCAGGAAACTGGCTTCAAGGCACCCAGATGTGGAAACAACAGAACCTATTTTGTGTAATGTTGAAGACAGAATGGTCTCCTTCTTCAGACATCAGTTAATGATGAGGAGAAATGCCCAACAACCAAAAATTGACAGTTTTTTTACTAAAAGGCATCGGGAAACAGCTGCTACCTCTCAGCCTTCCACTTCAAGAATGAGAGAGGATGTTCCTGCTGGAGAATCTGTCGGTCCAGAGGTTCCTGACATTTTCATGGAAGGTGACTCACCTTCCAAGAAGCTGTAAAATGCTTCTCCTCCTCCACCTCTCACTTCAAATTCACATCAGCATCATCATCCAGGAGCCTTCTACATACACACCTCAAAGTAAGTGTACTTTACTGCATTTTTTTTTTACTTTAGGTAATTTTCGGTGAGCTGGAACCAATGGTTTCGGTTAACGAACAACCTTCTGGAACGAATTGTGTTCGTTAACCAAGGGACCACTGTATACTGTACTTATTAAAGAACTGGAAATTAATCCTGAAATCCCATTTTATGACCACAAGGCATGTGGTTGACTCACAGTTACACAGTTTGCCAGGTTTCACAACAAAACAGTTGGCCCAAGTCACCAAGTAAAGTTGTCCTTCAGATTTAACTGTTTCTTGGTTCATGACAAAACCAGGTCCAGTTTCAACCATTACAAAGGAAATTACGACAGGATGGGGGAGATGAGAAGTATACACTGGCCTGACTTACCAAGGATTAAGAATGCTGACACTACGTTCAATATCATAGCTAGTAAAATGAACCATTTGATTGAGAAATATATACCCAAGATCAAACCCCGTGCCTCTAGGAATACAAGGCGGCCGATACATATGAACCACGAGGCGGTCGACAAGGTAAAGAAGAAAACTCAGGATTTCGAGACATGGGTTAACATAAATGATGAGCAAGACAAGTGGATGTATGCAAGAGCTAGAAACCAAGCAAAGGCAGAGTGTAGAAGGGCTGAAAAGGAGTTCCAGAGGCAGAGTGCAAGCGAGGTCAAGTCAAAACCAAAGGCTTTTTACCGCTACGCAAAGTGGAAATTAAAAACACAAGCAGGCATATCGGACCAGAGGCTTGAAGAAGGTAGTTATGCAGATTTTGACCAGGTAAAGAAGGAAGCATTGAACAAATTCGGCTAACGGAGATATTACCGTATTCAGGAGCCAGTGCATGCCCAGTATCTGCCAACAGTGTGTATCAGAGACGTGACCGACCGCCCAAGTGGAGAATGAGCCGATCAGTGTCTAAGAGGATAAAAGTAAAATGAGTAAAAGGGAAGCTAAAAGACTACCCGGTTGACTTAAATCTGGGCATCACTTGTATGTGTACTCTTATCTCCAGTGCCTCATGGAAATGAGAGGAGGCAGTGGGGGGTGGGGAGTCAAGGGTGCCACCAACAGGGCTGCCATAACATCCAATCCACAATAGAGAATTTGGCGTTGCATCATAAATTGCATATTTGATAATAAAAATGTTTCTTTCTTATACATTTAACCTGATAGTGTGACACAACTGAACTATGGTTTGCTAAGTCTATACCAAACAGCTGCTCTCTCAACTATTTTTGCTCACACCAAGTTTGTATTACAGTACAGTAAATATGTGGCATCCATGTCTTGATTGATTTGATTGCCAATTAATCCCTTTACTATGATGTTTTCTTTTAGTCTAACTACCGCCAGATGGTTTTATTCAGCTAAGGGACGTTCCATCTCATAGTCGAGGGTTTAAACAAAACTTTGCTGTTTCTACAAGATATAGATTCAAACATCCATAATCCATTTGCTCCTAAATGCAAAGGAACACCTTACTTACAACATGAGTTCATCTTATTGTAACCTTAGTATTTTCATCTGTTAGCACAAGACATTATTCTGTATTGTAAAATCTCCCACCCCATATACTACGCACTTCCCTCTCCCCTCCCCACAGAAAGACACCTACCCTGACACACCCGTCTTCTCTCGCCTTCTGCTCACAAACGAATGATTCAAATTCACACTTCGGAGTTCGTGGTTCACACCTCAAGGAGACAGAGGAGTGACAACACTAAGTGGTAAATGCAGGAGTGGACCCAACTGTAACCTCTGGCTATTGTTCACCATAAATGACCAAAAGAAATGCATGAATTTTAACTCCTCGAAAAATTTTACCCACCTACTTTTGACAAAAAAATTTCATCATAGCTCAAACTGTGGCTCCTATATGACTTTTGTCGTGCATTTCTACACTCCATCAACTATTGCTTATGAATCCATAACACAAAAACTGATTTTGGGGAAGGAGAGCATCAGGGGAGGGCAACACTGGGGGCTAAGTGGGCGATGGCTTTACAAGCCATAGGTTTATTCTTATTAATCAGGAACATTCCATTACTGTACTTTTCCATGGAAGCCAAACGCCTTTTCCAATACAGTGGTCCCTCGGTTAACGAACACAATTCGTTCCAGAAGGTCGTTTGTTAACCGAAAATTTCATTAACCGAATCCATTGTTTCAATGGCATATTGGGTAATTGGTTCCAGCTCACCGAAAAGTACATACAAAGTAAAAAAAAAAATGCAATAAAGTACACTTACTTTGAGGTGTGTATGTAGACGGCTCCTGGTTGATGATGATGATGAGAATTAGAAGTGGGGTGGAGGAGAAGGGAAAAGAGAAGGAAGTGGGGATGGAAGAGAAATCACCCCATGCTTGATGCTGTCACTTCACCAATAAAATTTTAAGTTCACTAGGTGTAATTCAAGATTATTTTCTTTAAATCAACACTGCACTGCACTACCCGGTATATATTGTCAATATGTTAAATAAATTTCAAAATAACCAATAATTGTACTGTAAAAACGTAAAAATACTCTGTGTTCATGAGAACAATAACCAAGATGTTTCCTCCACTGAACAGAGATACAAACTAACGCCTTGGTGGGTGAGTGAATTGGCTGATGGGTGCACCAAAAACTAGTTCACTGTGCTGCAATTCTGTTAAATAAGTGTTAAAACGACTAATAATTTTAATATAAAACTTGGAAAAATATTGAATAGTACAACTTTCTCAATAATTATTCCAATGGAAACGAATAAAAGTCCTAGAACCGATTACTGTATTGGCGGACTAATCTTCCAGCTGGTGAGCAAGCCAAAACATGTTGACATGTTTTCATAAGAATTTCGTTAACCGAATTTTTGTTCATTAACCGAATTGAAGATTCTTGTGGAAGGTAATTCATTAACCGAAATTTCGTTAACTGAGGCATTCGTTAACCGAGGGACCACTGTAGACCGATAGTTAAAGTAGTACTGTATTTGTGGTTTTAGTCATTGTACTTGCTTTCCATATACTGTATGTAACTCTGCAAATATTGACCACATACTGTACTTAATGTGTTCACAATACTGGAAGTAAAAACAGTACAGTACTGTACTGTATACTGTATTCAAAATGGCTGTTACATTGTTAAAGGTTTTATTCAGTATACCAGGAAAATTTCTCCAATAATCCAGAAATTTGCATTATGTAGAGACTCTAGACCAACCTTCCCCTTATTTAGTCCACATTATTAGGGATTTACAGTACAGTGGGGTATGCTATAACGAACGTAATTGGTTCCAGAACCTCGTTCGTTATAGCATTCGTTCGTTATAGGATTAATCCGTTCCAGGCCCCCAAATACAACCACTTAACACTGAAAAAATTCTGTGGAAAATGTAAAAAATACGGTACTTTATCTTACCTTAGTGTTGTTCAGCATGCAGGACAGGAGGCAGAGGGGGAGGGGGGAGGGGGGAGGAGAGAATTATTGAGAAGAGGTGGAAGGAGAGGAGTCATCCTTCCTAGCCCTCTTTGGTGACTGTCTCACAGGCACTTTGTCTGTATGTTCTTTTGTTATCTTTGTAAAGAAGGTATCCAGGGTTGGCTGCTTCAACCTTGATTTCTGGACCTTCCAAAAGTAGTTCATAACATTGTCATTGAACACACTGATGGCCTTTTGCACAGAACCAACATCAGGATGATAATCCTCAGCAAGCTTGGACAGTTTGCTCCAGCAAAAGAACGCATCCTTGAGATCTTTGGCTGGAATGATGCGGCTTTCCTCCTTGTCCTCCTCCTCCCCTGACTCCTCAGAAGTTAAGCTCCGCTTCAGTGTCTCATTTTCCTCTTTGTGAAGCTCAAGCAGCTCCTCAGTGGACAATTCCTTACTGTGCTCTTCCACCAACTCCTCAACATCATCATCATCCACTTCCAGGCCCATGGAATTGCCCAGAGCCACAATTTCATGAACAACAGCCTCTTCTTCTAACTCTTCGAAGCCTTCAAAGTCTCTTTGAAGGACACATTCAGGCCACAATGGCCTCCAAGCAGCACAAAGACACCTCACAGTAACCTCTTTCCAGGCTGAAGTAATTAAAAATACAGCATCTGCTATATTGAAGTTACTCTTCCAAAATTCCTTCAAGCTAACATCACTGGAAGAAGTGGACGCAAAACATTTTCTAAACAGTGCCTTTGTGTACAGCTTCTTAAAGTTAGAAATTACCTGTTGATCCATGGGCTGGATGAGAGGTGCTGTGTTGGGTGGCAAGAAGTGCACAGTGATGAAGTTCAACTCCTCTGGCAATTCAACCATCAAGTGGGAGGTGGGCTGGTGCATTGTCCATCACCAACAAAAGCTTTTAGTGGAAGATTATTCTCCTAGTATTCCCAGGCACTGGGTCCAACACCTCAATCACCCCACTCAGAGAATAAGTTCTGCGGTCACCAAAAGCCTTTGGGTTTGACATAACACCAGGATACTTCTGATTTTTTAAAGCTCTGGGGTTTTCTGCATGGTACACAAGGAGTGGCTTTATTTTGCAGTCACCAGAAACGTGCTTACAAAACCCAGGAGTAAGCCTGTCTTTCATTGACTTATGGCCAGGGACAAGTTTCCTCCTTAATGTCTTAATATGCAATGAGGCATTTTTTTTCCCAAAAAATAGTCCAGTTTCATCACAATTGAATACCTGCTGAGAAACAAAGCCTCCCTCTTTAATATTCAAAAAATGTCATAGTGTTCCTGGCTGCTTCCTTATCTTTGCACTACTTAGCATCACCCATAATCTCCACAACACTATGTATTTATTTCTCCTTCTGAAACCAGTAAACCACCTTAGTACTTATAAACACTGGCACATCCTATCACTTGCACTGAGGAGTCTTGGCACAAGGTCCTCAAGCAATTGTCTGGCCTTCTCTCTGGTACCAGCTTCACTAATGCAATCACCTGCCATTTTCTTTTCTCCTTTATCCACACTAAGAATACAATTTCCACTCCTCCTCAATAACATTACACCTTGCTTTGCCTAAGTCTAGAATTCCCTTAGCCACTTGCACTGTTTTCAACTCCTCTTTATTCTTTAAAATCGTACATATAGTCAATTTAGCCATCTCATACTCATCACTAAGTTTACTTGTCTTGTTCAAATCCTCACGTTTTTCTTTATGATTTCTTTTCTTAGTTCCAGAGTTATAGGCTTTCTCACTGCTTTGAGCGATTCATTGTCACAGTGTACACTTGTATAACAAAATATTTATACAAATAACTCTATTTCCACATCAAAAGACAAAATTTCAGCAATGGCACAGTGGTGCACTGGCTACACAATGAGACAAGATGGTAGCCTGGCGCTCTTGTTGTAGATGCGGCGGTACAACAATATTCATCGCTGAACTGAAATAATCCCGTATTCATCCGTTTGTTGTATGCAGGAGTTCTTTGATTAGATTTATAGCATTCTCAATTTTATAGGTAAAACCGTTAGATTATGAATAACAAACGTAGTAGGATCCGTTCGTTGCTACATACCCCACAGTACAGATATAAAGCCAGGTAAGATAAGTGAGTAACACTACCTGTTGATCTTCTCTAAAGTCTTGTAGTATATCTGTCCTTTATACTGAAATGCTGCCAAATTTGTTTCTCTCTCACTCCTGGAGCAGTTCACATACCGCATCCAATTACTGATACTTGAATCAACTGCATCAACGCAGGCTGCAGAGTTACTTTTATCACGAAGCTGGAAAAAGACAAAATTTATTTAAAAAGACCGGATTTTGGAAATTGCATCGGCATGAAGCATTTCTTGTTACAATTTGTAGTTTGGATGTCTTTACATAATATGAGTGCACCAAATTCAATGATGGTGAATAACACGCTGGCTTTTGATATTTCAGGGGTCAAAATTCCCCAAAAATGTAACGAGATAAAAACTATTTTCATTCAACCTTTAGACATAGGAAACATAAGTCATTAAAGAGGTTCAGTTTTTAATATATTTTGTATACTTTTCTATTTAACAAATTACTGTACACCAAACAAACACACTAGCAGCAACTTTTTACTAATTTTCTGTGCTAAATGACAAGCTATTACAGGTAGGTAATATACTTTTTTACTTTGTTTAAAAAATGTTTCTCAACTTATTATGGTCAAATCTGATGCCTGAAGGATCACTTTTATCATACTGTAATTAAAAAATATCTATCTTCATAAAAACAGGCTCAACAATACAGTATTCAATTTAGTATTTTATACAAATTTCCATCTGCACAAAGTTATAAATACTGTACATACTGTATGTATTGTACAACAAAACTGGAATTACAGAACATATATAATGTGCAAGTTTTAGAGTATTATTTGTTATCAGAAAACTTTTAATGGTTTTAGTCATTCTTGTTTGTTGAAAAGACTATCAAAACTACGTAGTTTAGAACATTCAGCTCCGATTTATGCACATGTTCTGCTTCTGCTTGCAGCCACACATGGCAGGATTTGGTTGCTTCTCTTCTGAGGAGAAATGCTTCCCATACTCTCAAGCCCACCAGATTTGAACTGGGTCACGAACATGGCCTCACGGATTCTGAGCGTATGGCACGAACGTGACCTCACGGAGCATAATGGTTTAGAATGATGAGTGATGTTTCACCCTTCCTTCCATCCTAAACTCTTATTAATGAACAACTCACAGTGTTGGACTTCTTTGCCTGCTACCAAAGGAAAAGAAGCCAGATTCTTGTTCTACACCACATATACTGTCCTGAAGTCTGGTGGCAGCAATCATAGTTTAAGGAGTAGATTATGTAAAGATTAGCAAGTAAATTAAATAAATTAGTGACCAAAGGATACAGCAGCATACTGGAGCCTTATCAAACCGCTGTTCTCTTGCCACTGATTGGCCTCTGATCAGTCACCTCTCTTGTTACACACTGTTGACACATTTTGGTGCTCCCAGGCTGACACTGACACCCAGCAGGCCACAATTACTATCATCATGCCTAGAACGCTTATCATTCCTGTCCATTTCATGTCCATGTTCTCCAGAGGATGCATTTGCCATTGTGTGTGTGTGTAATTTTCTGGAGAACAGTTGTTTTACAGTACTTGTAGGGGTTGTTGGAAAACAACAAAAAGTGGGCTGTTTTTTTTTCCTTCAAAACTCAAGTTTTTTCCAGCCCTGACCTGTGCCAGTGTTGGTCAAGTCTGGTCTGGTCTGGTTGGAATTTGTGTAGTATTTCTGAACCAAGTAATAAATGGTATAAAGGTATTCCTCGGGTTACAGAAATTTGCATTAAACAAATCTGAGAAGTATAGAATGAGTTTTGTCTAGAGGCAAGCTTGAGATAGTTAGTGAATGTGAAGAAAATTGAGACCAGTTGGGCCAAGAGATGCACTCTAAATATAGCAGGGAGGAGAGTCAGGGACAGACCACCACAAGTAGTTTAAAGAAATGGCAGTAAAGTTCAGAACCTGATGAGACTGTGCATTATGGAGAGTTGCCATCAAGTGATTGTGGCTACTTCCTGCACGCACTGAAAATGGCCATTAAATATTGATGATAATGAATCAAGTAAGACATTCGAGACTACATTCTTCCAATAGCACACCTGTATCACTCAGCTGGTGTAGTGACCATTGCAAGAACATGAAATACTGTACAGTATATGAGAGGAGACAGTCAACACAGTTCTCTAGTTACATGAGCAAGTAACAGTTATATGATCAAACCTTTGTTGAGTATAAAGCTGATATTCATTATGTGATGTTCAAGCAAAATTAGACCAGAATTAGGGAAGTCATCAAGAAAACATTGGCTAACATGTATGCAGCAAACTCATGGTCTATACAGTATTGTAACTTGTCTAAAATGAAGAAGAGCTGCGAAGAGGCACAGAAGGACCTCTGTGGGCTCCAGGAATGGTCGAAGGAATGGCTGCTGAGATTCAATGTCAGAAGTGTAGAGGATGCACCTGGGGTACCAGCGGTAAGGAACTATATGTCCCAGCGGGATGAAGAAAATGTACTAGTTGAGACTGTGTGTGAAAGGACCTAGGTGTGTGTATGTTGACAATGAGCTGAAGTTTCCGGGCCATTGTGAGAAGAAGGTAAATCAGGCAAATAAATTATTGGGTCTTATAGAAGGTCGTTCAGATATCTGAGGGTCCGTCCCTCGTGACGATCTTCAGGGTGAAGTGCTTCCCCATCTGGAGTACTGTCACCCCATCTGGTCCCGAGATATGCTAGGGACTGTCAGTTGGTTGAAAATGTTCAAAGGAGGGCCACCAAGCTGGTGCCTGCACTCGGCATCTCAGCTACCCTGCGAGATTGGGCCTGAACTTGCCTAGCTTATACTACAGGCGGGCAAGGGGGACCTAGTTGAGGTTTATAAGCATCTCAGGGGCACTACTCAGTTGATGTCCTTACCTGGGCTGGCGGGCCTTCGCCCAGGGGGTCACAGCTCAAGATTGAAGAAGCCGCAAGTCCGGGAAACGCGAGGCAAACTTTTTTGAGTTGAGGGTTGTAAACTCTTGGAACAATCTACAGAAAGTGTTGTGGCACCGATGTGAGCTCTTTCAAGAGAAGACTTGACCAACACTGGGCGGGTTCAGGTACATTCAGGAGCCGTGCATGCCCAGTATTTGCCAACAGTCGTGACAGAGCGTGACCGATCGCCGAGGTGACTGGAGACCGACCTTTGGGTGAAAGAATATAAAGGAAAAAAGTCGTGACCGTCATGGCGTAAGCAGCTTCCGATCAGTGGCGAAGAGGATAAAAGTAAAAAGAAACATTACCAGTAGTGAGGAAAACTTACCCTCCATCCATAGCCAGATTCATGCCCCTCATCCACGTGAGCCAAGAAGCGACCCTCATAGGGACCAAACACAAGACGTGGAGGAAGATCGGCGTGGTCCAAACACCCAAACCAGCACCTTTTATTTTAGATGGACATATACTCAGAGGCCAAGGGCGTAAGGCGAGCACGATTCTTCACACTACCATCACGCACAACCTGTTTAATAGGAATAAAAAGTGAATCTGATATAACAATGGAAATAATGATATTACAAAGAGAATTAATGTACAGGAAAAGTGAGTTACAATATTATAAGTTGCAAAGTACAGCAATGTATTCACATTTTTCTTAACAGGGACACATTACAGTGGGGTCTCATTTTGCACGGGTATACCGTACTGGTACACGTCCGTGCATCGGAAATCTGCGCAAGCGACGCCCTTTAACATGTGTTAAAAATCACTATACGTATTGTAGTAGACTCACCAGGCCATTACTCCAGAATGACTTTGAGTAACCAACTTAACCTTCCAAAAATGACACACATGTTACATAACTACATCTACATTACTAAATAAATATTTTAAGAAAGCCCAGAAAGTTAATTATGGTATCCACTCCACCGACTAATGGAGGTGTGAGAAGCTGAGGCCAGCTGTTTGTTCTTCAGTATCAAAGCCAAATAAACTATGTGCATTATGTATGTGTATTACTGTACTGTACGCTATTGTTAGAAATACTACCAATCATCCCTTTGTATTTCTTACTTTAAACTTTAGACAGAATTTTCCTCTAATTCATCTGGTTTAAATTTAGACCATTTGAGTTTAATGAAACCATTATCTAAAATTAGTTTTTACCTTTGTTTTCTTCACCATAAATAGGCTCATTAGCCACTTGGGCAGTCAGTCACATCTCTGTTACGCACTGTTGGCAAGTACTAGACATGTACCGGCTCCAGAATATACCTGTAGCAGCTACAGCGTTGGCCAAGTCTGGTCTTGAAAGAGCTCACACTCAGTGCCGTCACAACACTCTCCGGCAGATTGTTCCAAGAGTTCACAACTCTCACTTTGAAAAAAGTTACCCCTCACAGTTTTCTGGGCCTGCGGCTTCTTCAACCTTGAACTGCGACCTCTTGTGACCTCTTGTGTAGCCCAGAAAATGGCCCATTTATATTTTCCAGACGAAAATTCACAAATTTGCTAAAATGATGAATAAATTACAGTATCTTATAATGTGCTTCACTAATTAGTACCAGCACTTGTAAGATGAGATGACTCCACCAGCTGAACAAGCTGGCACTTGGCAGTAAAACAAAACAGAAGCCTTCTGAAAATTTCATAATATTGGCCATAAAAATATTAAAGGAATAAAAAGGTTTATGAAATTATTAGTCTATAAATCATACTGTATTTCTATAAATATCCAATCAAACAAGGGTCACCTACTAGCCACACCTTCAAATTCCAATATTGTTAGTTCTTTTTTGTTCTGCTGCCCCTCTCCACCATACCCTACAGTGCAAGGTCCTTTACATTTAAGAATATGGTTGTCGACACAACTATCCCCGTCAATGGAAGTGCTCGATTAAAACTCTGGGCGTAATTCTCTTATCTCGGAAAAATCCCACATCAATAGATTTTTTCGAACACTGGTGAATGTTTCAGCGTCTAAACTAATCATCTGGCAGAGCACTGCTGCTACACAAGCTTAACTGCAGTCACACAGACACAGAGCTGTATTTATTTATGCAAACACTACAGTACACATACAATATAATGTAAATAAAATATTCTACAGTCTACACTATACTGTACTTACTAACAGCTGCTGTCATCTTTAGCCTTTGAAGCAGGCAGGCCAAAATGCTGGTACAGTATAATGATACAGGATGGCCTGCTTAGTCCTGTACCATCTACTGTGGCAGCTTGGTCACATTGGTTTCTTCTATAGCTTTCAACATTGTACATTTACTGTATAATGTACACACACCCTCAACACATTAGGCAACAGTAGGCATACACTGTCCACTCTACTATGCACAGTGTTGTACATACAGTACTCTCACACTTATTGAATGTACAGGTGTTTATATCTTATAACTGCTTTAACTGTATTTTTGGCTGATTGCATCCTAGTACAGTACAGTACAGTACGTGTATGGCAAAACACAGATTGTATGCAAAAACTGCAGAGTGCAAATGAACAAGCTTGAACAATAACAACAGACTATGAACTAAGTGTGCCATGATGCTAAGGTTTGAGGAGATAGACTGGGAGATACATGAGCCAATCACAGCCATCCCATGTAGTCACATGCCAGTCACGGCCAAAAGCAGCACACGAGCCAACAACCTCCCCATGCAGTTAGCTCACCCATGCACCCAGCACATGTCCACGTGTTGGAACATGATGCAATCTCTTAGAAATCTGTTCAAATGGCCAAATCAGAAATTTTCTCAGAATTTAAAAAAAAATTCTGGGTAATGAAAAGTTCCAGGGATCAAAAATTCTGAGTAATAGGGATATTACTGTATTTAAATCTGAAAATACCTTTAAATACTGTATATAGAACTGCACTCGAGTCATTCAGCTGGAAAAGGAAAAACTCACCACTTTCCTGAAAGCTGTTTTGTATGGTAACGTACCACAAAACTTCATGTGATGGTCAGGTCTCCAGAGTGGAGGTTCATCCTTAACCAAGTGTTAGTTATGAGGGGTGGAATGGATACATATATGACTCCACAGAAAACAGAAGACAGCAATTATTCAAAACTTTGATTTGTCTAGTTCACCTTGTACTAGATGCCTCACTTCAATAGGCAACATGACCTAATGTCAGCATGGAATGTTCACACATGCCACAAGCTTCACAGAAACAATAGGATAGTTTCATATAATCTTTCAACATTTCTGTATACAACAAATGTACTTACTGGATTATCTAAAATTAATGTAAGTGGATGGATGAGACACTCTCCTTCCCATTCCTGGTCACAATCCTCACAGTCTGCAAGACAAAAGAGAATACTGTAAGAAAATTTGTTATTACATACCTTCAGTAATACAATTTACCCAAACTCATATTGAAAACTGAACAAACACCATCTTCCCCATAAAACAATTTACCCAACACCTTTTACTTTTATCCTCTTCACCACTGATCAGCTCGTTAGCAGCTTGGGCGATCAGTTGCGTCTCTGTTACGTACTGTTGGCAAGTACTGGGCATGCACTGGCTCCTGAATGTACCTGAACCTGCTCCAGTGTTGGTCAAATATGGTCTTGAAAGAGCTCACACTCGGTGACGTCACAACACTCTCTGGCAGATTGTTCCAAGAGTTCACAACTCTCACTCCCAAAAAGTTACCCCCCACAGTTATCCGGACTTGCAGCTTCTTTAACCTTGAACTGTCCCCCCTTGTGGGGCGAGCGTCCACCAGCTCCAAGTAAGGACACTTGACTGAGTAGTGCCCTCTGATATGCTTGTACACCTCATTTAGATCTCCTCTTGCCCGTCTGTAGTACAAGCTAGGCAAGTTCAGGCGCTCAAATCTCTCAGTGTAGCTGAGGTGCCACAGTGCAGGCACCAATCTGGTGGCCCTCCTTTGGACATTTTCAATCAGCTGACAGTCCCTAGCATATTTCGGGGACCTGACGGGATGACAGTACTCCAGACAGGGAAGCACTGCACTCTTGAAGATCGTTACGAGGGACGTAACATCTAGATATCTGAACGATCTTCTTATAAGACCTAATAACTTAGTAGCCTGGTTTACCTTCTTCTCGCAGTGGCCCGAGAACTTCAGTTCACTGTCAATGTACACACCCAGGCCCTTCATCTGCCAGGTACATCTGCCACAAACACAGATATCCAAGTTGAAAAGACTTCAGATGTTGGCTGTTAAAGGAAAATAAGGAGAATGAGAGAATACCTCCCACTCCAGATGCACTACACCAAGTGATCCTCAGTGCCCACCACCAGGCAATTGTGTGGAACTGTGATACAATTGTGTGGAACTGTGATACAATTGTGTGGAACTGTGATACAATTGTGTGGAACTGTGATACAATTGTGTGGAACTGTGATACAATTGTGTGGAACTGAGATACAATTGTGTGGAACTGTGATACAATTGTGTGGAACCTTGATACAATTGTGTGGAACTGTGATACAATTGTGCGGAACTGTGATACAATTGCAGGTCCTCTAATTCCATCCCCATAGGGGTATGGGTGGAAACAAGATGCAGATATAGATGGTCTCCAGTCATGACTATAGAGCTGCTGACACCAACATCAGTGTAGCACTTAATCAAGTGCAGATGCAAAAAATCATGCCATACAGAGATTTTCTCGTCCTAGGGCATGGCTTATAACTGCACAGACCTATGTTACTGTTCAGATGTTGAAGAATCATGTGACAATGTTGAACAGATAACCCTGGAGGACGATGCAAAATACAACGATCAGCACATGACACAGTTCAGTCAGGCAGTCACCGAGCTGTTTCTTCGTGGGTGGCTGCTGCCTGTACGCCATGATGTCACATATGGGAGGAGGGAGTGTCGCTCACCTCAGTTACAGCTCACTGCCTCAATACATACATACACTTCCCACATATACTCTCCATTTTTCTTATTTTATAGTTTTATATTATATTTTCTTTATTTCTAAGACACATAAGAGTATTGTAATGATGTACACTTGCAGCACAGAATCCCCACTTTCTCCGACTTCCCTGAGTGAGTGATCATTAAACAAGGGAGAGCTAGATCAATTATCGTTAACCCTGACTGTATGGGCATTCTTTATCCCTTAGTCTAACACATGAAGATTTTGCACTTCCTGTACCTACAAAATTTGAGTCTATCAAGTTGTAAAAACATTGTTATTGTCTTAATATTAGTTATGTAAGATACTTATATTTCAATGGCTAAAACCAGAACAGTGTTGCCAAAATGTATTCCTTAAGATGCTGAGGAAGTTATGGCCGTCTCGTCTCCAGATTTACTGTCTATGTTATTTTTAACCACTTGCTTCACAATCTTATAACTGAGTCAGGGTGTATCACATAACTGTGGTAAAGGATAAGGTGTTGCTAACATGTACAGTAGACAAAGGGTTAAAATGACTGGACAATCTGTTGGAAGAAAAAATAATTATCATACATTGCCAAACAAATCCCAAAAATTAAATATATAAATTACTGTATAGTAGTTTACAAGTAGAGGAACAGTAGGAAATAATTCAACCTCCAGCCTTCACTAGTGGCAAGTTTCTAGTAATTTTCATTCATTGCATTTTTAAAAAAGACAAGTTCTCAATCCAAAATGAAAGTAGATTACACTCAGGCACACGCACAAAGTATATGATAATATCTATGAATAAAGTGTGAGTTTGCTCAAGAAATACAGTAATAATTTTCACTCACATAGGTACTCATCTTCATCAGGAATCTTCTCTTCAACATAATGTTCAGTGCCTCGTACACGACGTGGGTTTCTCCTAACAGGGTTCTGTTTGGGTGACGAATGATCAGTTACAGATTCTGTGTTGGAATATGAGGATTCTTGACACTCGACTGACGACACCAGACACCGACTCTGTGTCACCGGAGCATTTTGCTGAAAGGCTGATGAGATATCACGGAATGGGTACACTTGGGTCTTGAATTTTTCATTACAATCAGTTTTTGGTGAACTTAATTGGGGTGATTTATTTGAAAGAACACCACAGTTCTTTTCAGGATTTCTCCATGACTGCATCATATGATTTCTGCTGCTGTTCACTTTCTGAGCAGCAGTTAACTCGACAAATTCTACCGTGTGCTTATCAGTTGATAATGGGTTCAAATTTTCTTTATTAGCCTGTAAACTTTTTCTTCTTATATTTCTAACTGTTGGTGAGGACCTGATATGAATATGGCCTCTTGATTTGGAAGAGATTTCTTTAGTTGTCTCTCTTAACTCTGATTTTGCAATGTCACAAGTTGTTGCTACTTCCTCTTTTGTAGATTGAATGATAACACAGTTACACCCTTTCTGGGGATGAAGACCTGACAACATATTTTTCTCTGGTTGTTCAGACTGATCATTAATGCCTAAACATTCTTTTATCCTCAATTGCTTGAAGGAGGTTTTCTCTTTTACTAATGAATCCACATTTTTTTCTGGACTTGTAGTTGGTACTGCCATAGCCAAATCATTTCCCTTCTCCTGGCTATTTCCAATACAGTTTAAGGTGGTATTTACCATTTCATTTTTAGTAGTTTTAAGTGAAACTTCATATTCTAACGGTAGAACACTTGGTGTACAATTTAAATCTGCCATCCCTGAATTAAAGCTGTTTATTGAGCTTGATGTTGAATTACTGTCAGTAGATGCCAGGTCATTGGTATTTTTCATGTTTGGTGGTGCTGACTCACAGTTGTCAGATACATTTGGAATTAAGTTGCAAATGTCTTTTTTGCAAAGCTCACCATCACAATTGTTTGTTTTTTGCTCTGAATTTGGTAGATCTAACATGCTACATTCACTAAATACCACAGAATCACAAGAATCTTCTAATAATGATGGCAAAAACAGTTTAGTATTTGGGTCATTTAAAATATTGTCAAGAGCTTCTGAATTTATTCTTGGTGACAACTGCACAGCATCAGCTTTTCCATTTGGGGAGAAGTTACCTGGAATTTTAGGTTCTCCCTCCAACTGTGGTGGTAAGTGACTATTCTGGAGAGTCAGTTGTGACTGTTGGCATGAAATGTCTTCAGGAGACACAGAGTCACTATAGCAAAATAAATCTGTCAAGTGCCGATTGTCTGGTCTGATAACTTTTGATGACAACTGACCTTCATTATACAGGTCATCATTTACCAAATTAATATTGTTAGCTTTTACAGCAATTTGTTGGTCAAAGGCATTCTCATATATTGGCATTAAACAATTTGCTCCATTTGTTAAATCACTTTGCCGATTATATTGATCATCAAACACAAATGACGAGTGACTGACTCCATTATTGTCATGAATCTTCTGATAGAGTGAATCATTATTACCCACTGATGCATTATTTTCACTCATCAGTGCATTTTGTGAGTCACTTATTATAGTTGTGCAATTAGTACTATTTTTCACAATATTATTCTCATCACCTACGTCATCATCCACACACAATGACTGACTAGTGCTTTTGATATATGTATTCTCTTGATTCTCTCCAGCAACTGAGCAAGTGTAGTCATTTTTGACTGGCAGCAGCTGTTCACTTGTATAATTAATGGACAATGGTTGACTTGGGCTATTGTCAGTAGTAATAAAGTGCTTATTCACAGAACCTGAATGATTTGTTGCATTTTTTGCAGTGTCACATGTCTCAAAACACTCAAAATTTGATTGGCTAGTGCCACTTTCTTGAGCTTGATCACATTCACCACTGTCAACAGAAAATGTGCAGCCAGAATCCCTTGACTTAGTCTTGCAGAATGACTCATGTAAACTATCTTGTACCATCTCATTAGAGCCACATACATCATTCTCTGACTTTTGTAATTCTTCTTTATCAGTTGAGGTATATAAGTAAGGTTCAGCCTTCACGTGTGTGTGTGGATTATGAATACTTCCTGTCACTACTGGAAGGTTATTTGGTAATAATATAGTTCCTGCGGAGTGCTTGTGATGTACAGCTGTGCACTCTACATCTCCCTGATCTCCAACTGTATTGGCTGTGTTCTTAATGTCTGTGAATCTTGATGAAGAGAGAGTTGTATTGAAAGTGTTTTTACCAGTTGCCAGGGAATTTTCTTTAGGTATCTTCACTACACATGGTGACATATCCACACTTTTTCTCTTGGTATTCAGTGAAGATTCCTTACCATCCTCCTTCATTATTGATGGTATGTCAGAGCTCATGGCCTCTGCTCTACAATATCCTGTTGGCACAACCTGTAACAATAAGACTATTGTACTGTACTGCAAATCTGCAAAATTTTCATGAAATATTAATCACTTTCACTTCAAATGTACTGAATTAGATGAGACTAATATCCTGCTAGTTCACAGTTTGTGCGCGAGATATAGTGCTTAGGGATTAATATGTGGTAAAGATTGTCAATGACTAAAACCTTACTCTGAAATCTTAAGTAACTGATAAAAAGAGTTAACCCTTTGAGGACCGCCTATGGTTTCAGAGTTGTTCACAAAAAATTTGATTTTCCTCCCCCAAACACAATACATTACTGTATTTTATCTACTGTACTCAAATTATAAATAGAGTACTGTAAGCCAGAAGGCTGAAAAAGGGTTCCAGAGGCGCATTGTAAGTGAGTGCTAAGACAGTCGTGCCAAGCTCCTTACGATCCTGTTCTGTAAACACATGCTGTGTATGCCCTCGAGTGAGATCTGTCTGATGTCGGAGGAAATACCAAGCCCAGAAACCACTGTTGTGTGAGAGGAGCCCACCGGGTGTAGAGGGTCATAACTGTGGCCATTGTGCAACCTCCCTAAAGATCTCTGGATGTTTCAAGCTCATAGTACCTTAGGTGAAGATGTGTGGGTACTACTTTAAGGTGCTGTCACTACTGTAATGACCTAAGTATGAAGGAAGCAGGTATGGTCATTGGGTGATTGTGCTTAAGTACCTACTCTACCTTCCAAGAGTACCTGCTGTGTGTTAATTTGGTGCTGGGAGTGAGTTACATTAACTGTCTGTATGTGTTTATGATCCTTTATTCAGGTGCTATTGAGTCATAAGAGGAAAGTTGATATTTGGTAATATTGTGAAGGAGTGACATAAGTTTAGGTCAGTTAAATTTGTATGGTGAGGAAGTGACCTCAGTTAGGAAGGTCAGCTATTTTTGTAATGTGACTGAGTGTAGTATTATTAGTATATAAAAATTAAAATTATTTTTATTAACAAATTAGTTAAGAATAATGTCTAACGTTTCACCCTTCCTTCTATCGTAAAGTTTGATCAATGAAAAAACCCGAACTCACAGGGCTAGACTTCTTTACCCGCTAACAAACGAGAAGAAGCCAAACTCTAGCATCACACCACATATACAGGTTTGTATACTGTACTGTCCTGAGGTCTGGTGGCAGCAACCTTAGTTTAAGGAATAGATTAGGTAATGATTAGAAATTCAAGTAAATTAAGTGTCCAAGGATATGGCAGTACAGTATGTTAGGTAGTAAATTACAGTAGTTGTGTACTATTTATCATTAGTCAGGTAGGTTTTTGGTTGTTTGTGAATCAGTTTCGTTAGGGTATGATGGTGTGTTTTTTTCCATTGGGCACCAAACATTATTTCTCCCATATGATCTATTCACTTTACAAAACTCCACCAAACAAATGGTTTTTCAGGACACTAACCCATTCACATATTGAGACAAGTCATAAAAAACAAAAATATCTGGGGATGATAAAAATATCACTTACCTTAACACTATATCGCTGAAACTGTTCAAGTATGGCAGTTCTCCAGAAGTTAATAACATCTCCCTGGCTAGAGCTCAGAGGGGAATCATCACTATGAGCCTCCATTAGGACCTCTCCCAGCTGTTTTATGTGGTCCATTTTCACAACTGGTTTAGGATCCGTCTCTGTTAGCTTGGTGGGTAATATCCTGCCCTTTTCCTGGGTTTTTTGTGGGGCAACATATCTGAAAAAATAAAATAAAATAAATAAAAATATTATTACATACAGTATTTTATATATGAAAGATATTAATTTTTGCAATGAAAAGTTAAGCAGCAATCATTTTAAACTCTTATAACTTTCACAACAATGATGCCATTTATAATATTTAACTTGACCAGATGATGTTAGTCAGAGGTCAAATGATTATCAAGTTTACTCACATACATGTCTGGAGGATGTGGGGAGGGGGGGGGGGGACTTAACTTAGATCACAAGTCTATTCATTATAACTAGCCTGAATATAACCAGGAATGTATCTAGTTACAATTTTTGTCAATACTATAGATGGTGACACAAGTCATGTTTATACTCTAGTACAGCAGACAACAGCCCAGACACTCACACATTTAAACCATTGGTCATTCCACCATAATGAGTTCAGATGATGACTATAAGTGAAAATTATGCTGACACTGAAGAATCCTGTAGCAATGCCCAACAATATGTACTTCAGTACTTTCTTCATCTGATGACCTGACTAAATCTGCTGAAGAAACATTACTTCTCCAGCCACATGTCTCTCTCACTTGTGTACAGTATATATGTTTCTGTATATGTTAAATCTAGTTTAATGTTTTCACAGGTTTTTAAAATTGCATTTTCTAATTTTCTGAAATCTTTATTTTAGAGCAGAATTATCCTGGGATAATTAATACAACTTTTTTGTGGTTACTGGGTTTCCTAAAATAATTACAGTATATTCACAACAAATTATATACAGTTTGTCAATTTGCTTTTGCCTAAATAAAAACTTCACTCTCTCTCTATACTGTATATACAGTATAATCTGCATTTAAGTGGTCAATTGAACCCGTGGAGGTCCTCGTAAAACGAGAAACGCGTAAATGAAATAACAGAACATATGGGATTAATTGAAATAGAGACTGGGCCGACCCCCAAACTCCAATTTTCCGACACAATACCTACGTTGTAGTACAAATAACATTTAACTTTATGATGGTATGCACACACAATTAATATTTAAGAGAAATACAGTCGCCCGGTTAATGTCCATTCAAATAATGGACTCAACTCCCCCCCCTCCCTTCCCACGCTCTCTGGCTCCTCCCTCTCTGATAAAATGATTGGGTGAAACACTAGATTTTACCGTTTAGTAATAAATAATACGTCAGACTAAAGTTAGGATAATATAATTGACATTGCTGGATTCCTTGCAAGACTGCCAATAATTTGTATATAAACGTCATATACAGTATTTTGCACAAAAGATAAAATTTTTGCTCTTTCTAATAAAATTCTTAAATTACATCTAAAATTTGTATGTCTAATGCAAATTTTAGGATGTTTATATTTAAATTAATCACCATCTTATAAGAATTCCAGCAATGTAAATTATATTCTGGCTGGGTAATTTCTATGAATTTTATGAGCCAAATACAAATATCTTCAGTAAATAAACAAATTATACTTCACCCGCGTAAATGACCAAATTTACCGGGTAATTAGAGCATTTTCATTCTGGCAAAGCACCGCGTAAATGACCAAAAGCGTAAACAAAAACCACGTAAATGCAGATTATACTGTATACAGCATACTGTACAGTAAATGTTTTAAAGCAAGAATAAAAAAATGTATGGTTTTAGGATCAGACTTTTAAATATATTCATAAGTTAAGAGATTAAAGGAAATGATTCTTGGGCAAAAATGATACACTTGAAGAAATATTCTTCCCAAATTCTGGAGAATGACAACATGTAATTACTGTAATATTTTGTGTATAACCAGAATATTATGTAAAACTTTCCAAAGACCAGAAAACAAACAATGTACAGCACTAGTAAGAGACAGACTTATCATACTAAGGTATTTTCCATGTTGTGATCACTGTGATCAAGATATTACCTGTACCCTGAAATTTTTCCTAACAAATTCTATTAAAAGTACATTTAAAACAAGAACAATCATGTTTATAACACTGAGGCCAACAGATTACAGGCAGGGGATGTCAAAAACATTCTAGTACAGGCAGCCTCATCATTTCATGCCAACACAAAATTCAATTTTGGTAGTTGAAGACTTTATTGTTTGTTAACATACTGCACTCAATCAACTAAGCAATCATTTTGTTTTTTCCTTTGAGAAACTCAATGAACCCGGATGGGTAGAGTAGTCAAAACATTCTACACATTCCTATACCACCACCAAATTTCTCACTATACTGTATGTCCCCAAATGAACTGGCTCAGCATTATGGAGTCACATGCACTGCCAAATTCGTTAATATTTTATATTTTATGTTATCAAAGTAACTCCTTAACAAACACACTAATTTCTTGAGGAGAACTAGTCCCCTAAGAGCTGCCACAACACCCTTGGGCACAATATCCCAACAGTTCACAAATCAGATCCATCCATATGGCAATTCAGTACATTAGCCACATAAATTTTTGCCAGCAGAAGGTTCAAAATAAAAACCCTGCATAAGGAACAGAAATGTTACCAAACACTAAAAGTTATGAAAGCTTACCTATATTTAAGTGATCTTCCTGATCTAGTTGTGGTACTATTACACTCGGACTCGGGTGTCCAGTCCTCGTCATCGTCGTCCGAATTATTTAAGTGTCTTCGGTAAGGAGCGTGAAATTTTTTTCGTTTTCGATGAGACGCTTGTTGCTGTTGGTTTTGAAGTGCTGTGAAGTCTGGAGGTTTGCTTTTTAACCCTGAAAAATATTTCACCATCAACTATTGCAAGCTGTTCCATTTCAGTGCAAGATTGATGAAGACAAGAGTGTCATTTTTTTTGTCACTTGATCATTTTTACTTCAGTGAGACACATTCAGCAACAATATTCTTCTTCAACACCCTAACATAATGCACCAAGCAACATATTCATCCCCACAAACAACTTAACACCAGTTGCCCTGCTTGGTGGATAAATTAAAAAAGAAAATGGTTAACCCCAACATTGTGTGGTTAGATAATTATGCACTGTTTTTCCAGTGTAATGGTTGATACTATTGAACTGTACTGTACCGGTACTTATTTTCAGAATCTTTGCACATTTTCAAAACTGATCAAACTCACACAGCCATATAAGAGTAGGGTTTGTTAGGTTAGGTTATTTTAGGGGTTGAAAAGGAGAAGTGAAGCACATAGCAGAGACGAGGACGCCATACATACTGCACCAGTTCCTCATTCAAGTGGCACCACACTATCCTTCTGCATTGCTTATTTAAGTTTCTCTCACACTAGGGATTAGGTTAGGTTGTTAGTTAGTTGCATTTCTTAACTCTCCAATTTGTTTAAATATCTCCACAACAGCTCATTTCCGACAGCAATGAAGGTCATATGTGTATATAACAAGATGAGTTAGTAGTACAGTACAAGTAGGACAATGTTCAAAGGAGGGCCACCAGACTGGTGCCTGCACTTCAGCATCTCAGCTACCCTGACAGAATGGAGCGCCTGAACTTGCCTAGCTTATACTAAAGACGGGCAAGGGGTGACCTAGTTGAGGTGTATAAGCATCTCAGGGGGCACTACTCAGTCGAGCGTCCTTACTTGGAGCTGGCGGACGCTCGCCCCACAAGGGGTCAAAGCTCAAGATTGAAGAAGCCGCAAGTCCAGAAAACTGTGAGGGCAAACTTTTTCGGAGTGAGAGTTGTGAACTCCTGGAACAATCTCCCAGAAAGTGTTCGTGACGGCACTGAGTGTGAGCTCTTTCAAGACCAGACTTGACCAACACTGGAGCGGGTTCAGGTACATTCAGGAGCCGGTGCATGCCCAGTAATTGCCAACAGTGTGTGACAGAGACGTGACCAATCGCCCGGGCGGCTAGCGAGCCGATCAGTGGTGAAGAGGATAAAAGTAAAAAAAAAGTAAAAGGAAGGATGTACAATCCTGGGTTCTGAGGACTGGCAACAGGGATTACCACCACAAACACTACTTTGCTTGCAACCTGTTCTGCAATATTCACCAAGACCTCGGCACAATCATTCACCGCTTCCTTGACACTGTGGCTCACCGCTTCCCCCTTCTCAGTACCGGTAACAGTAATTTCAAACGTGACAGATGTTAGGTTAGGTTAAAATTTTAAATAAACACCTTTTAACACATAAACCAAACTATGACAGTGTCCATTATAAAACACAGTGAAATTGTGGCTTTTTAAATGCACTTTCTATGAATATTCAGCGGCGGGTAAGTCGTCAATAATTACCAAATATTTTCACCTCTTGATAATGAAGATGGCTGGACTTACTTCCTTGCCCCCATTAGTCCCTGTTCACCTAGCAGTAAAGTAGGTACATGGTGTAAATCTAAAATTGCAAATTCGTATTCAGGGAAAGTTGTTGGAGCTTCCAATAACTTCATGACATAAAACCACTGACTCTTCAGGCTTCTACGCCCTTGACTCTTCAGGCTTCTACGCCCTTAACTCGTGAGACATAAAGGCAAGCATGAACTTAGCATGCTCCCCTGTTGGACGCTGTAAACGCTTCTGCGCTTCACCTTACACAAGAATGTAAGGGGGTGCCAAAAAAAAAAAAAAAAAAAAAAAAAAAAACATGAACATGGCAGGATATTGAAAGAAACATCAGAAAGTTAATAAGCAACATAATGATCTAAGTAATCATAATCTAACTGGTAATATACATTATCGTTTCGGTCATCCAGCGAATTTTAGGATTTTAAGTTTAGTTTAGCTTAGGTTAGGTTGAAATTAAATTTTTCCGATGGTTTTGATGTAGTATTTTGAACTTCCAAACAGGTGGATGACCAAAACGATAATTTTACCCTCTTATCTCACCTACCATAATGATACCTTACCTACAAAAGGTAGCATCTAAGGGTGAAATATTTGGCCCCAGCCTGACCCTAGGGCACCCCGGCATGTTCCTCGACTATCCCCAGCCTGTCCCTGATTGACCAAAGCAAATCATCTGGTGGCAATCCCAAGCCCTTACCTAATTTAGAAAACTAAGGAAGTCGGTGACGAAAGACTTAATAGTATCAATTCCCATTTTTCTATGCCAATTTTTGACACCCAGCAATGAAATATAAGTGATGATACCAATAACTAGTTTGGTTAATATTCGTCCATTACTTTTATCCTCTTCGCCACTGATCTGCTCGCTAGCCGCCCGGGCGATCGGTCACGTCTCTGTCACGCACTGTTGGCAAGTACTGGGCATGCACCGGCGCCTGAATGTACCTGAACCCGCTCCAGTGTTGGTCAAGTCTGGTCTTGAAAGAGCTCACAATCGGTGCCGTCGCGAACACTTTCTGGGAGATTGTTCCAGGAGTTCACAACTCTCACTCCGAAAAAGTTTGCCCTCACAGTTTTCTGGACTTGCGGCTTCTTCAATCTTGAGCTGTGACCCCTTGTGGGGCGAGCGTCCGCCAGCTCCAAGTAAGGACGCTCGACTGAGTAGTGCCCCCTGAGATGCTTATACACCTTAACTAGGTCACCCCTTGCCCGTCTGTAAACTCTTGGAACAATCTACCAGAGAGTGTTGTGACGGCACCGAGTGTGAGCTCTTTCAAGAGAAGACTTGACCAACACTGGAGCGGGTTCAGGTACATTCAGGAGCCGGTGCATGCCCAGTATTTGCCAACAGTGCGTGACAGAGACGTGACCGATCGCCCGGGCGGCTAGCGAGCCGATCTTTTGGTGAAGAATATAAATGTAAAGAGACGTGACCGATCGCCCAAGCGGCTAACAAGCCGATCAGTGGCGAAGAGGATAAAAGTAAAAGTAAGTTCAGGCGCTCCAATCTCTCAGGGTAGCTGAGGTGCCGAAATGCAGGCACCAGTCTGGTGGCCCTCCTTTGAACATTTTCAACCATTGGCTGTCTGCAGGTTCCCCCACGTTTACTCGAGGCTATACTGTACTCCTCACTTAAAAAGTCACTTGCCGCCTCCTACTTGTAGGTAGTAGGCAGCTACCAAACAGGGAGGTACGGTAAGATATTGGAAGCATAATGTGTTGTCTAATGGTAGACCCTGCTGCCATATGGCATAACAAAAACTGTGACCAAGACCGGGGTTGCTGATCTGACTTTGTGCCTCATTTACAGCCAATTGTTTCTCTTACAACACAACATACATATATCGTTTCTCACTATTATTACTTTAGTTGATCCTTTATTATTAGTAGTAGTAGCAGTATAATATTTATATTTAATATTTTATTTAATATATTTTCTTATTTTATTAGTTTGTATTCAAATTTTATTATTATTATTATTATTATTATTATTATTATTGTTATTATTCCACCACCAGGCCCTGATGACCTGTGCCCTGGTGCTCTAATCCTGTAAAAAAAAAATAGGTTAGGTTGGTTCCTTTGGTACGAGAATAACCTTTTATATGTGTTTTTTGGTGTTTTACTGAAATATTACCTCCATTTTTGTACAAATTAACAGTTTCTGTTAAAAAAATTCATTCTTTGCCAAATCCGCTAATTTGCGCACAAAAATTTAGGTCAGATTTCAGTAAAACACCAAAACCTGACGACAGTCAATGGACAAATATTTACCACAATTCATTTATACCTACATTAAATCCATTACATAATATATAAACTTGACACTCACATTAAATTATATTTACAACAGTTGAAGCAGTGCTCAACATGGGAAACTTTCAGCGATCAGCCAGCCAAAACACCTTCCAGCGCTTCATTTTCCCTTGGTACTGAGACGAATATTTTTGCTGGTGTGACTGTCCGGATTCTTAAACATTGGAAAGAAGCACCAGCGATACCCTTTTCTTTCCTTGAACACAATATTTTTTGGTCAAAGGTGGCTGTCAAAGGGTGCAAATTAAATAGCCATCTCCCACCCTTGGCTCCGTCACACGCAGTGTTATATACAGTAAGTCTTTGACCACAAGCTAATGACGTCACGGGCAATTACAACGTTTTGGAGTCACGTGACTTCTGGGAAACTTTAACTCTTATTTCTTATACATTATACCTTTTGACCTTGTTTAAGTCTGTTTTTTATTTATAAAAAATAGTGACCGTCAGCACTTCCATTATTTGGATGGATATACCTGTATGAGTGATAGGGGTTGGGTGTAAATGGGACTGCCCAATATGGACCAATAGGCCCGCTGCAGTTTCCTTCATTCTTATGTACATACTGTATTTGCATTAACACATGTTGCAGCTGTTTGTATTGTCCCATTCCGTAACACACAAACCAAATCTTAATGTTTTCAAAACACCATCTTCCTTGCATGGGGCGTTACTTCTGAGGACAAACTGTGACCATCCACCTATAGAAGAGCTTGTAGTTCCCAAGACCCACCTCACATAATGATCTTCATCACTTTACTACCAAATAAAACAATACAATAAACTATTTACAAAATAAAGTCGCAACATTCTATTACTGACAAATAATCATTAAATTATCTACCAACAAATAGTTATCATTAAATAAAACTGCCATACACCATCAGGAAACATTCCTGTTGAGTCACACTAATGCAATACTTCCACACAGATACTCCGACCTAACATTAACCACTGGTAAATTTGCATTTTCAACTGCTATGGCTCTAGAGTTGAACAATGTATTTTTCCAATGGTTTACACAATTTTAAGACGCTTTTCTTCTATGACGTTTCTCTTGCAAATGATTAAAATATACCGGGGGATCCAGGGGGCGGAGCTACCCGGTCATAAGGTTGGATTAAGTATATTTAAGTAATTTACGATATAAACGTCAGAGAAGAAAAGTGTCTTAAAATTGTGTAAACCATCGGAAAAATACATTGTTCAACTCTACAGTCTAGTAGTTGAAAATGCAAATTACCCTTACTTTAAACGTTAAACTCAGCCACATTGATTGAAAAAGCAAATTTATCTTTACTTTAAACAAGGTGACTGTATTAAAAAAGCAAAGCAGAAATAAGATATTAAATTAATAGCCTGTTTGAAATGATTTTCTTGAAGTAGACTATCCACGCGTTTTATTGTTCCCCCCCGACTTACCCATATTTTTTAAGAAAATATGATTCTTGTAAAGATTTTCACATCGTTTCTTTTCAATTGGTGGAAGTTTCTCCCATTCTTGGATGGGAAAAAACTGCTGCGCCCCCTCATCTCCGCTCTGTTCGGCCATCATCACCGACGCGCCCTCCCTCTCACCGTCTCCTTCGCCGACTGTCCAGAGTTACGTCTGAGTTTCCCGCCCAAATAATTTTCAATACATTTTGATCTACAAACCCCTTAAAAATATTTTTAGTTACATTTTAATATACTAAAAACTTTTAATAAACTGTCGAGATTTATAAAAATATTTATGAAGACTAAATTATGTTGTTCAGTAACACGAACCTTCCCATCGTGCACTTCTTGTAAAAACAAGTAATACCAAACCATTATCCATCTACTTAACAGTGTTAAGTTAACACTGGTTGTTGGGTTAGGTTGGTTCAATTTGCTTGTTTTGGATGAAGGCTTCTGCGATTTAATCAAGCCAAGAAATTTTTCGGGTGCTGTGCTCTCAAGTAGGTGATCACGATCATCATTGAAAATACAGTACCTGTACATGTATACTGTAAAGGATGATTATTAAAAATTCATAAGATAAATTTTCCTATATATACACACACACATATATATATATATATATATATATATATATATATATATATATATATATATATATATATATATATATATATATATATATATATAAACGAAGCTGTATTGACTATTGAGCCAACATTCGACGCTGTGACTGCAAGTGTGTCATTGCCTCAAACGCTAGCCGGGTGTAGGTAGTGCCCAACACCAAGCCTACTCTACCATTGAATGCGGGCAGCAATACATTGGTGGATGCAGGGGAGGTACTTTGGATTCAGTCGAAACCCCTTCTTCACCCAAGACTCACCCGGTGTCACGTTAATCTCATCAGATAGGTGTTAACCTGTGGCAAAACCAAAAAACTGTCTGGACAAACTATTTTGGGAGTGAGAGTCGTAAATTAAACCCCTTCTTCACCCAAGACTCACCCGGCGTCACGTTAATCTCATCAGATATGTGTTAACCTGTGGCAAAACCAAAAAACTGTCAGGACAAACTATTTTGGGAGTGAGAGTCGTAAATTCTTGGAAAGGCTTACCAGAGCGTTGTGAGGCACCGAGTTTAAGCTCATTCAAGACTTGGTTATAGTCCATACACTGGCGCAAGTGCAGATACATTCTGCTAAGTCGAAATTGAAAACCCGAGTAGGAGTATCACACCTGAGGCTTGTGGATGGTAGTTACGCAGATTCTGACCAGGATAAAGCTGAGGCATTGAACAGCTTCTTTTCTTCAGTGTTTACAAGAGAGGATGCAACTAACCTTCCTGCGTTTGAGGACAGACGGTTCGACACAGCACTGACCCACATTGTGTTCACAGAAGAGGGTATTAGAAATAAACTGTCCAGGCTAAAGGTTCATAAGAGTCCCGGCCCTGACATGGTGCATCCTAGAGTGCTAAGAGAGCTGTGTAACGAGCTTGCAGAGCCCCTGAAGATCCTGTTTTGTAAATGCCTGGATGAACAAATGGTCCCCAGTGAATGGAAAGTGACTTATGTGAGTCCTATCTTCAAGAAGGGCGATCGGCACTCCACGAACAACTATAGACCAGTGAGCCTGACCAGCATAATATGTAAAGTACTTGAGAATATTATCAGAGATGCCGCAATGGAACATCTAATACGAAACAACCTTGTAAAGGATTGCCAACACGGTTTTATGCCGGGACGCTCCTGCTTAACACAATTACTCAAGGTATTGGATACTTGGACCCATATTCTGGAACGGGGTGGTAATATCGACAATATTTACCTAGATTTTGCCAAGGCTTTCGACAATGTACCCCATGAAAGGCTGAAAATCAAACTGGAAGGGTACGGAATTCGGAGAAATGTCCTAGCATGGATAGAAGACTTTCTACATGACCGCAAGCAGTGTGTGGTGATTAATGGCACGAAATCGTCATCCGTACCTGTTACAAGTGGGGTACCACAGGGCAGTGTATTGGGCCAGCTGTTGTTTGTTTCATAAATGACATGCCTGACGTTGTACACTCCTCCATACAAATGTTTGCCGATGACGCTAAGTTATTTCGGGAAATTAAGAACCAAGCAGACTGTGAAGATCTGCAGAAGGACCTCTGTGGGCTCCAAGAATGGTCGAAGAAATGGCTGCTGAGATTCAATGTTACGAAGTGTAAGAGGATGCACCTGGGGCGTACCAACGGTAAGGAGGCGTATTATATGTCCCAAAGGGATGAAGAAACTGCACTAGTTGAGACTGAATGTGAGAAGGACCTAGGTGTGTATGTTGACAATGAGCTGAAGTTCTAGGGCCATTGCGAGAAGAAGGTAAACCAGGCAAATAAATTATTGGGTCCGTCCCTCGTAACAATGATCAAGAGTGAAATGCTTCCCCATCTGGAGTACTGTCACCCCGTCTGGTCCCTGAGATATGCTAAGGACTGTCAGTTGGTTGAATATGTTCAAAGGAGGGCCACCAGACTGGTGCCTGCACTTCGGCACCTCAGCTACCCTGAGAGATTGGAGTGCCTGAACTTGCCTAGCTTATACTACAGACGGGCAAGGGGGGACCTAGTTAAGGTGTATAAGCATCTCAGGGGGCACTACTTGAGTTGAGTGTCCCGAAAAGTAGAGAAACCTACTTTTCGGGAAAGTAGATAACCAACTTTCCCGGAAAGTAGATATTTCCCATTTTCTATGATACAAATTTCCCGTTTTCTATGATAATCTACTTCGCAAAATTAGGAAATATTTCACCAAAAGTCGATAATCTACTTCCCCAAAAAGTCGATAATCTACTTTTCGGGTAAGTAGATAACCAACTTTCCCGGAAAGTAGATATTTCCCATTTTCTATGATACGAATTTCCCGTTTTCTATGATAATCTACTTCGCAAAATTAGGTAATATTTCACCAAAAGTCGATAATCTACTTTAAGGTCGATAATCTAAGTAGATAACCAACTCCCGGAAAGTAGATATTTCATTTTCTATGATACAAATTTCCTGTTTATGATAATCTACTGCAAAAATTAGGTAATATTTCACCAAAGTCGATAATTTATTTCAAAAGTCGATAATCTACTTTCGAAAGTAGATAACCAACTTTCCGGAAAGTAGATATTTCATTTTCATGATACAAATTTCCCGTTTTCTATGATAATCTACTTCGCAAAATTAGGTAATATTTCACCAGTCGATAATCTACTTTCCCGGAAAGTAGAAAATCTATCTACTGGGAAAGTAGATAACCAATCCCGGAAAGTAGATATTTCCATTTTCTATGATACGAATTTCCCGTTTTCTCGATAATCTACTTCGCAAAATTAGGTAATATTTCACCAAAGTCGATAATTTACTTCCCGAAAAGTCGATAATCTACTTTCCCGGAAAGTAGTCTATCTACTTTTCGAAAGTAGATAACCAACTTTCCGGAAAGTAGATATTTCCCATTTCTATGATACAAATTTCCCGTTTCTATGATAATCTACTTCGCAAAATAGATAATATTTCACCAAAGTCGATAATCTACTTCGAAAGTCGATAATCTACTTCCGAAAGTGAAATATCTACTTCGAAAGTAGAATAACCAACTTTCCCGGAAAGTAGATATTTCCCATTTTCTATGATACAAATTTCCTGTTTTCTATGATAATCTACTCGCAAATTAGGTAATATTTCACCAAATCGATAATCTACTTCCTCAAAAGTCGATAATCTACTTTTCGGATTTTGAAAGTAGATAACCAACTTTCCCGGAAAGTAGATATTTCCCATTATGATACAAATTTCCCGTTTCTATGATAATCTACTTCGCAAAATTAGGTAATATTTCACCAAAAGTCGATAATCTACTTTCCAGGAAAGTAGAATCTATCTACTTTTCGAAAGTAGATAACCAACTTTCCGGATAGTAGATTTTCCCCATTTTCGATACGAATTTCCCGTTTCTATGATAATCTACTGCAAAATTAGAATATTTCACCAAGTCGATAATCTACTTTCCCGAAAAAGAAAAATTCACTAGATAACCAACTTTCCCGGAAAGTAGATATTTCCCATTTTCTATGATACGAATTTCCCGTTTTCTATGATAATCTACTTCGCAAAATTAGGTAATATTTCAAAAGTCGATAAACTTCCCGAAAAGTCGATAATCTACTTTCCCGAAAAGTAGAAAAATCTACTTTTCGGGAAAGTAGATAACCAACTTTCCCGGAAAGTAGATATTTCCCATTTTCTATGATACAAATTTCCCGTTTTCTATGATAATCTACTTCGCAAAATTAGGTAATATTTCACCAAAAGTCGATAATCTACTTCCCCGAAAAGTCGATAATCTACTTTCCCGGAAAGTAGAAAATCTATCTACTTTTCGGGAAAGTAGATAACCAACTTTCCCGGAAAGTAGATATTTCCCATTTTCTATGATACGAATTTCCCGTTTTCTATGATAATCTACTTCGCAATATTAGGTAATATTTCACCAAAAGCCGCAAGTCCAGAAAACTGTGAGGGCAAACTTTTTCGGAGTGAGAGTTGTGAACTCCTGGAACAATCTCCCAGAAAGTGTTCGCGACGGCACCGATTGTGAGCTCTTTCAAGACCAGACTTGACCAACACTGGAGCGGGTTCAGGTACATTCAGGCGCCGGTACATGCCCAGTACTTGCCAACAGTACGTGACAGAGACGTGACCGATCGCCCGGGCAGCTAGCGAGCCGATCAGTGGCGAAGAGGATAAAGTAAAACTCAGGGGAGAGTCGGCAGTGAGAGTGATGTATCATTGACGTCGGCCATACAAATGCCAGTGATTGTGGACCGAGACTGGTCATCTCTTTTTCACCTATGAATATCAGAGAACCTGATGTTCATGGTGAAATTGTTGTATTTCTAAGTATTTTGGTTCTTTCCTCCCAGTACTCACACACTCATGGAAAACTATGTAAACAATTAAATTTGTAAGGATTTACGAATCAAATTTGTCATGACCTGCTACAGGTGCATTTATATTCTATCTCCATAGCTAAAGGAATTAAAGCGAGATATTTCTACTGTAATCAACACAAATTACTTTCACATTATAATGTATCAAACTACAGTAAAACTCTTAACCTGGACTCTTTTTATCCAGATTTCTGTTTTATCCAGACTAACAAACCACTACGATAATATTGCAGTAAACAGCAACCACAGAATCCCGGAAATTCACGACACTCGGCCGATAGAACAATGTTTTCCATGATCATTTTCTTATATTACATTAGATTAGGTAACACATTTTTAATCAGATTCTTTGGTTGCTGTAATCCGAAATTTTACCATTTATGTTAATCCAGATTGAGTCCAGATTAATATGAACTTGTTCAGATCTACCAACATGGTGGCAAAAATAAACAGCTTTGAATCACTTGCCTGCAGTTTAATATATATAATTCTTGTACATACAGTATTAACCACAAAGTTGATGATTGATTTTTTAAAGTACTGTCATATTTCTCCATAAAACCTTTTGCAGATACCCCTTTCTTATGATCCTCCAGAATTACTTGCTTTATCCTCCAAGCTACTTTTCTTTCTGGCTCTCTTCTGACTTCCTTTTGTAAGCCATGGTAATTAGTCCAAAAACTCACAGATAGTCCACAGGAGTTAAGAGGTGTACACAGGAGGGCTGTAACAGAGCAACTGGAGTGTACACACAGTACAGCAGCTGGGGCTGGTGTTTGTGTGCACCAGAAGGTAATCTGGGTTGCTATCAAAACTCTTCTCTGGATTATAAAAACCCTCTGGAAATCACTATATATTGCAATAATATTTTGTATTATTATTTTGAAAATTGTGATGTTTAACAGTTTTGATGAAACTTTAAACAAGTTGATTCAGGAGTGAGATTGCTATAACCTAATGTACTTTGTTGTTTTATATTGTACAAATTGTTGACCTATATTGTATTGATTCTTCTGTATTTTTCAGAAAAGCTTTACTTCTGATAGTATCTGTAATTTTGAAGTTTACTTTGTGTGTTAAAAAATTTAACTTCATTCAGACTGATAATTTTGTCTGTTGTCATCTAAAAATTCCTCACTTCTTGTAATTTTTCACACCTGTTGGAATCAAGTTGATAAGCCACTTAAGAATGTTGTTTGCAATTCTAAGATTTTTTATTTTTTGTCAAATTTATGTTTTACTGGATTCCATAAAATATTTACAAAATAGTCTTTTCAGATATTAATTTATTTTATTTTATTTTCAAACTCCTGATAGATATACAGCATTGAAGTTACAATGTACTTTTTTTCCCCATAGTTTTGTTCTAAGGATGTTCTGTTCCATTTATATATGTACAGAAGTCAAATTACTGTAGCAGCATTGACCACTCCCACACAGAAAAACACAAATAATTAACATTGTTCATTTTTACACATACACAAACATCATCTGAGGAAACTGACAGAATACAATAACTGTCCCTTCATACCATGAAGAGCCAAAACTTCTCAGAAGGCAGTATGAAGGAAAAATATGGTGAAAATGTAACATAATTTTATTGTTCTCCAGGTAAGAACAATTAAATAAAAGTCACAAAGTCAGATTTGTTCATAAAAAGCTAAGATAATTTTTAAGCTTTCATTATCCAATTCTCAATGATTCAAACAAACTTCACTATGTAACAGATCAATGCCTGCAACAGTAGAGTAACATGCAAAATCAACAGTTTGCACTTACAAGCAAATCTGATTGTAAATATTCCTTGGATTTTTCCATTTATCCCTCTTGTACTACAAACATCTGGCTTAACCTAATGACCAGGACACCACTACTTAAACAACTTCATTGGTCTATTATAGACCCATTTTTTTATACAATACAAATGTTAAAAAATTAATAAAACTGTTTACTAACCTTGAATATTCAAAACTGCTTTCTTTCCTAATGAAATAATATGTCGCCAGGAAATCAAGAATGAGCCGAGGTCTCGCTCCTAGAATGAATTCATCAATTCGTCATTTAAAACAAATTATATTCAATACTGATCAGCTAATTTTATTTACATCAATATCTTATTCAAATACTGCTGAAAGAATTTTGAATATGTTACAACTTAAAAGGGAAACATGCAATGGAACTTTTATAATTATTTACAACATGCTTCCTTTCCAAACACAGAGACTAGTTAAAAAGACAATGGTACAGGAGATGTAATAGAGTCCAACAGAACCTTCAAGATGTATTTGGTGATTAACAGATAGGCTTCAGTATTAGAACTACGTACTGCACCTCAACAGTTCCAACTAATAACCAATGAAGGAAGCAAATAATAGCTGAAAAGAAGGTGTAAGTTAACCTATGCTAGCTACATCTGCCTAAATAGTCATCATGAAGTAATCCTTGAACTTAATCACTCTCCTGTATGTATAGGTTTTAGGCTCAAAACTGTTATTCTGGACACATATTTGACTTTCCCTTAAATCTATATCTCTCACTCTCTTGAGCACTCTGGAAAAATACTGGGTTAAAGGCTTGCATAATGTACTGCATTTCATATATTAAGTGGACCAATTTCATATCGAGTCCAATTTTAAAATTTCTCTATATGTATTACATTAAAATATATTAAGGAGACTAAATCCACGTACACTACAAAGGTTTACATGAGTCTGTAACATAATTACAATTCATTCCAGCATATTTCTTTACATATCAAAAATAGAAATAATTATGTAATCCAAATCCTTACTTACATCCAATAATAATCAGTTACCCGGTAAATTATAATGTTACACCTTAATCCACATTTACTTACTGCACGCATAATACCAAACAATAGTTGACCATTACTGATAAATTCTTCTCCCTAAAACTGATTATGAGGTTAAATTCTGCATCAAAATTCATTTACTGGAAGAGAAAAGTGAGAACCGATCTATGAGAATAATGTTGAATCCAATTTATGAAAACATCTACAATATGGAATTGTTTCGAATAGTTTCTGGATACAATGTTTTATGTCCTTGTTTTGTACCATTGGCTTTGGTTGCCATACAGTACTTAACTCTGGCATTGACACATGTCTTAAGTCGCCTAATCTTTAATAATTGCATTTTGAATAAGTGTTATAAATTTGATTAAACATTTTAACCCAAGTTACTAAAACAGCATCTCTGCTTCAGCTTTAACTTAACATATCGAAATATTCATGAATGTTGTTCCACTAATTCCAGAACATTCAAGCAACGGTCTCATACAGTCTAGGTCCACCTCCAATTATCACAGATAACAGAGGTACTCGATTATTTAGTTGGATTATTGATTATGTATATTTGAAGTACATACAGTACTGTATTGGCAATTATTAAGGTACCTTTGAATTTTTATTCTTTTAACAGCAGTCATTTGAAGAATTCCTTTTGTCAACTCTGAACTCTTCCAATATCTTGTACAATGCTCTAATTATTCAACAGATTTTAACTACCATTGGGGGAGTCCTGCACATACAGTCTTATATCTTCAAATTTGGGGCAGTGCTGCTGTAAAGCTTTCCTGTAGGAAGCTTTATCATTTACAGAAATACCATCAATAATTTTTTTTAATTAATACCAATGTTTAACCACTTTAAACTACCTTTGAGAGCCCTATTGGGTTCACTTTAAAAAATATGAGAATGGAAGATTATAATCACAAAACTTTGATTTCAGCAAAAACAAAGGAAGATACAGTCATCCCCAGCGTTACCAACATTTTGGGTCACAAAAAATTCATCCATATGGAATTTGTGAATTATAACCACTAAATTCAAGGCATAGAACAATAATTTGCCATCATGGAAGTAATATTATTACCATTATTTTTTTTTTATTTCAACAAAAATAAATCAGTGAAAAGATAGATTATAATTAACAAAGAAAGTGTGAATTTCATAATGCCATTGTTTACCAGCAAGCATGGGCATGAATAACACCTGTCTCACACTGCCAGACTTGCCTACATCTGCAACTGTGTGATCCTTACACTCTCTTGGTTCCCAAATCCGTTTACTGATACGATCATTAGGTTCATATTATTTTATCAGTAGGGGGGCTTTGGGATGCTTTGTGTTGACTATATGTACAGTAGATCACATGTGTTTAAGCGACATTCTCGCCATCTTTTCCCCGAGTGTTTAATGTCATTCATTTCTAGCAAGTTAAATTTGAGTGTTTTGTTTTTTAATATCATTTTATACCATAAAATATTTAGTTTTCCATTTAATAGACTTAAGAAAGTTTATTTTAATTTTTAATTTTGTCATATTTTTGGGTCAAAAAATGTCCTTAGAAATGCATCTCCATTTATATAATGGGATTCAGAGGAAAAAAAATAGCACTAAGGAATTTCACGCGTCCCTTCTGTAACATGTGGATGCCTGTAGTACAGTATTACATGAGCTACTCATTAAAAAATAATAATTCAGAGACAACCTCAAGAAAAAATCTAGTACCCTGTCCCACAGAATAGTCAACTTCTATGGGCTTGGATGATTAAGGTAATCAGAAATGTAATTGAACATTGACAAAAGCATCAGGTATCAAGTTCTATCTAACTTCTCATGTACAGTACACTAAACCAATGGGCACCAAGAGTTCTCTGATTTTCTTTTACAAACTCTTATGAGAAACTAGATACAGTACTCTTGTTGCATCAACCCAAATAAAGGAAAACAAGAAGAAATTACAAATTTAGTCCAGAAAAACTTCTTAATACAATAACCTAAATAAAGGAACAAACAGGAAAAATTTACAAATTTACTCAAGCACAATGTCTAAATTGTTCTATTTGATACTAATAGAGCTGGTTTACACTAAGCTATATAGAGTCTACACTGTACTGATGCTCCATTGGTGAGCCAACTTCTAGTTTCAAAAATTATACTGTGATATGCTTCCTTTTAATCCCTGCTAGAACACTACTCAGCCTGAAGCAGACACCCATCCTCAGAGTGGCTACTGTGTGGCCGCACCACCAGTCAGATATCTCCTTGTTTATATCATTATGCATAACCTATTGACTGATTCCTAAAAAAGATATAAAAACAAAAATAATAATAAAAAGCATACTTAAAACAATGAACTAATGATGCTGAACTACAGTAAATATTCCATTTATTAACAAAGTAATCATTTAACATCTAAATGGTGTGAAAGCATGAGAACACAAAAGATAAAATTCAAAAAACTTCAAAAATTAGATACGTATATGAACGTACTGTGGCCATTTGTGATATAATTCCATCCATGTTTAAGTCGTCTTCTAGTAGTATCACGTACAACTTCATAACACCATAGAATTCTCAGTATTAAGCCATAAAAACAATCACATAAATCATACCTTCATAAACACATTTTAATGTAATGTTCATAACAGAAGTAAGTATATCAGAAGTTAGCAAATGGCTACTTTCTTAGAATATCTGAAGACACATCAAGGCCCATACCCAATAAACACACTCAGGTTTAGCAACATTTGCCACATCCCGTTAATCACTGCACTCATAATAACTTTCAATGTAGCTAAAACACTTTGATTCACTTGCTTAAAATGTTTACTCTTTTTAATAAAAATACATGTTTTGTGAAACTAAACAGTTCAGTGAGCAACAATATGTTTTATGAATGCAGTTGTTGATGGGAAGGAACACTTGAGGAGCAGCAGTCAACTTAAGTGTGTTTACCAACTATGATTTTGTCCTGATACAAGTGCTACTTGAAGCACACTTTACTTATCTATGCATGATAAATCAGGAAAATATTCTAACTATAATACACAAGAGCCAATAATATATTGTCAGCTGTACACTACACAGGAACATACACAATTTCCAAATACAGCAAATAGTTTCCACCACTGCTCATTTCTCACTGCTATATAAAGCTATTGGGAAGGAGAAATAACATGTTGCACCATCTCCTAAAGCAAGAGGCCATTACATAAAACACTGACACCAAATACACATCCATTCTTGTTCTATATAACTGATGACTCAAATAAATCATAATGGAAAAATATTCAACTCAAAAGGTTGTCATGTAGTCAAGACAAGACACTATTTGAAGCAAGTGTGGAGGGACAATAGGCTCAGGTGCCCTGGGCTAATACCTGATTGGTTTTATACACATGTAATGAAACACATTACAGAGTTATATCTCCAGTCCAGCATTATTTTCAAGTCATTGGACAAAATAATCTACTTTTCAGTAAAATTCAGATTATCTGTTAGTATTACAGTAGAATATATCATTTTCCATTAGTGTGCACACTACACATTTCTTCTATCTGGCACAAATATTATTCTTGATTTTTTATCACTACACCATAATGGACACTACTTTGCAGCTATCATCATCTAGTATTGGCACCATATATATTTATTTATCCTCCCAAATTAGGTCATGCCAAAGTTGAGTGTTGCAGCTGTGCCAGACGTTCATGTGCCTCGTGGAATGTGGGCCGTTCATGGGGATCCAAATCCCAGGACTGGAAAATAAAACAAAACATTTACCAAAATATTTAGATAAAGTTTGTTAATCCACCAGAAGTGGGGTGAGATATAAGAAGGAAATATCCTGCATTGGTTAGAAGAAAAACAGTTTCACAAAAAATATTAAAATACTTTATATTTCACCATTGGTAGAGTTGTAACCAAATACTAATTGTGATTTAATTAAGGATTACAGTAAGTTCTCCTATAATGCCAGTTTTCATCATGAGATTAGCGTACTAGGGAACACATTTCCTATAACGTAGATGCAATTTGGATAGAATGTAGCTTTGTCACTTGTGTAGAAATAAGAGGTTTTGCAGTTGCCTCGGCATATCATCACACGGTGGGATGCACCGCCCCAGCAGTCTTTGTTTATCTTCCCTATGTGTAAGACATCTGTTATCACAGCCAGCGCTTTACCTTAGTACAATTACTGTACAGTATCAACTTTATTGCTTTTGGTTACTGTACATTTTTACAAGTGGACAACTACAGTATACAAATTTAAAAAGACAAGATGAGCACATGACAGAGAAGCTGAGTGCCAAGACCACCATAATCACTGTCATGATCGAGATAACACAGTTATGGTTATTTTAGATATAGGTTCTATGTTCCCTATTGTAAAAGATAAGAATAAAATATTAATCAGTTGTGGCTTACCTCCTTCATCAACTGATACACCTCTGGGGGACAGCAGTCAGGGGCTTCCATGCGGTAACCCTTCTCAACATGTTTCATCACATCCGCTAATGGCTGAAAAATAAGTTTTATGTTATGGTAACAGTCATGGGAAAAGAGAAAACTTTATATATGTATTTATCTTGATTAACTTATAAAGCCTAACTGATGTATGTCAACTCATTATATTCTCAAGAATATTTACATATCAGTAGTTTCTAGAGTCAAGTTACAGGAGATAAGTTTGAAGATAATAAGGTACTGTATTAAAACATTATTCTATTTTAAACGTGTTTTTGTATAGTACTGTACTTGTGTTTAAATTTGACTTTCATTATGGGTATTCTTAAACATTCTTTAGCTACAACATGAACTATGACCATAATTGTGAAAAATGACACTGCGTGAACAGTATACTATTGATATATGACATAAAAAGATATTCTTTAACTGTAAAAACACTAACATAAATCACTTACAATTCGTGGATATGGAACTCTACCAAAAGAGTAGATCTCCCACAGAAGAATACCAAATGACCACATGTCTGACTTATTGGAAAATTTCTGTAAAAAGAGAAATGAAAAAAAAAACATAACTAAATTTTGTATGATAGATTTTAATTTTCATGCATAAAGGCTCTTCTGGCTATGATACAGGGTGATCAGCGAGGAGCTATCTTCTGGGTCTTAGCACCTCTTATACTAAATTAAATCCCTTCTCAGATCAATTTTCTTCTTTACATCTATGTCATGTGTTGTTGAGATGATGAACAAAGTAACATAAGTAAACGAGATGAATATTAAGGGGTCGTGTGTAAGGCAAACACCGTGCCACAGCAGAAAGTTTAAGGTGTGAGGAAAAATGTACATAATTGCATTTTTATGAAAGATTCTGCTGAATGATTCCAACACTTCCCATCACACGTCTAGAATTATTAAGGTTAATAGCATATCCTTTACTTCCTGATGAAAACTAGAGAGTGTATGATAGAGACTTTATATGCATGAAAGTACTGTATGGTCACTTACACTGTGTCTGAGAGCCTCTGGTGCAGTCCATTTAATTGGAAACTTTCCACCATCCAGTTTCAGATTCATCTCGTGGGCCAGACCAAAATCACACACCTTCGCTACCCCCTCCTCGCTTATAAGAACATTGCGAGCAGCCAAGTCACGATGAACCACCTTCTGGGACTCCAAGTATTCCATGCCACTACAAGCATGACTGTCAAGAAATAATAATAATAATAATAAATACTACCACTAACAATAAAGACACTGTATCTCTATTAGTTGGAGAGTTATAGTTATCTAGGAATTTTCCAGTAATCCTCAATACTTCTCCATTTTTCCACCACCATACACATACAGTACAAACATAACAGTGGGTTAAATATGGTAACATTTAAAGAGGACATATCTTGCAAGGTACCAAGACAACCATTTTTAAATACATGGGAAAAGAATGAAGGCGAACGATTAAAGAGATGCTAAGATAATACCGTTCATTTATAATTTACCATGCAAAGTTGATCTGGTCTCTTTTAGTAACATGTAGTCTTCCCCTTGACCGCAGATAGTCCACGAGGGAGCCTTTACTCATGAACTCCGTCACCAGCAGGATGCACGAGTCTTCAAACACTAGACCCAAAAGATTCACTAAGTTATTGTGCTTCAAACTCCTGTGGATGAAGAGAAGAGGAAGAATAAAAGTTATCAATCATTCCAGTACGACAAAATTACTTAAGAATTACCTTATCATCTACTGATTATAATTTTACATGTGCATACTGACTGTCTCATTAGAGCAACTTACTTCTTTTACAGCCAAGACCCAGGTTTTATGTTGTGTATAAGGCAGATGTGATATGTACAATCACCAGCACTTTCACCTGTTACAGTGGCTGATGCATTTTGTGAGATGTGGCACCTCTGTGTTTGTTTATATCATGTTAAAGCTCCCGGAATGGCCCAAAGGAACGTCACAATAGTACCCAGATTAAGCATTCCAAAGAGTTGCCACATCTCACTAAATTCACCAGTCACTGTACCTGGTGTAAGCTTGAAGGTGAAGCTATCACTAATGGACATAAATTATATTAACCCTTCTCACCTACAGAACAGCTTTGAAGTATTAAATGTACTTTCTTCCTCACATACTCGAGTCCATTTATTAAGTATTAATTATATCAACCAAATATGCCTGTGTGAGTTTTGACACAATATAAGATAAAAGACAGACCACCTGGCTACTAGAGGTTCCTCCAATGAATGTACAGTAGAGGGTTTTTGTTTAAATCTTTAGGAGAGAGAATGTCAAGAGGCTGGGGATCAAGGACTTGGCTCAGGTAACATATAAGTATTACTAAACAAATGGGGCAAACTCAGTCAACTAGATACAAAGTAATAATTCAGTAAATGGTTTATTACTGCAAGTCTTCCCAGTTAGTGAAATTTCAATCACTGCTGAAACATTCAAAACAAACTACAAATCCTTAAGAGTTCATGAATATATGGGCCCCTGCTTGCATATAAGTATTAATTTAGACAACAGCATTGATGAAATTCCTGCATTAAATTTATACAAATGAATCATTTTTTAAAAGATTAACCTTTTGTCAACAAGTTTGTGGAGACTTTTGATGACCTGACATAATGATTGGGGGTTAGGTTAGGTATAAGATGTTAGGTTAGGTTAGTGGTAATTTCCGTTGGGCAAATTGTAATGAATTTAACAATGGTTTATTCTCGCCATTAACCATTCTCAAAAAAAAATAAAATAAAATAAATAAATAAATAATAATTGGTGGATCTTGAGAAATCCAATCTTTTTAAACTTGATAATTGTTTTTGTTTTCTTGTTTTTTTGGTGGAAGGGGGAATGAAGACAAAGATTATGAGGGGTTGAGGGTGGTTAACGTAAGAAATATAGAGGATAATAATGTAAGTTTTTTTGAGATTTGTAATTGCCTGATAAAGCAGTATATGGTCTAGGGTATAACAGGACCCACTGACTAACTATTTCTTTAAGTACCAGCCCAAGAGGAAGACAAACACAAGTAATGCTAAAATAACTATACAGCATTATTGTGACCAAGTTTGATATTCTTGGGTTAAATATTGTTGTATGAAAGAGATATGTACTGTGTGTTTGTATATATTTTCAACATCATTGCTTACAAAGAAATATGAATCATTCTTCTGAAAATTCATTAATTGTTTATGCAATGCATTTCTCTACAGAATTGATCTTATTTATTATTAAATTTCACAAAAGATCTGAGCAGAAGAACACAATTATTATGAAGCCAAGGTACCATCACCACCAAACAGTTTCCCCGTGTGATCACTCACGTCATCAGTGAGGCTTCCTCCAACAAGCCCTGGGCTGCTCTGCTGCTGTCCTTCAGCCTCTTCACTGCCACCTTCAGTCCTATCCATTCACCAAGCAGAACATCACCAAATTCTCCTTTTCCTATAGAGTCCAGCAGCTGAAATGACCAAAACAAGTCTATACAGTACATGAGGATAAATAAATTCTTGAAAGTTAATGAAAGGATCCAAGCATATGAATACAAACTCATGACATTTCAACTATCACACATTGTAATTTTTAAACCTTCAATTGCTGTTGGCTTAAGAATAAAACCTCATAAGTTAAGATAGTTTAAGCATCAAGGGATGATTCTTAAGTTTGTTTCATTAATAATATGAATACTGTACAGCAAAAATTGGGTTATAATGTTTGACAATAGCTATAAATTATCACTTGTTTAACGATGGGGATGTGTTCCTAAAACCCTAATGTTAAGCGCAATTATCACTAAACAAGCGATAACGAGGAATACTATCTGTGGAGATGGCTTGTTGCCACTGTTACAAGTAATGAAACTATAAAAGTTATGGAATAATCATTACCTTATTTTAATGTGACTTAGAAATAAAGAAAATAAAATAGAAGACCAAAAAATAAGAAAAATTAAGTGCCTGGGTGTGTGTGTGGGGCAAGTGATCATATGCCTGGGCTCAAGGAGACAGTAAACTGTGTCACCCAGTAGCACTCAGAGGGGGTGAGACTGAGCTGTGATCTATGTTAATTTATTTTTCAACTTGTAATTTCTGGTAGATATATGTACTGAACTGTGCGTATTTTTGCTTGTTTTTACTGTTACATGCACACACAATCTTTCATACAGAATGTGCAAAAAGTAAAAAGATTAATTATCATAAGATCAAAAACATAAAAGGGAATAAACATTTCTTACGTGCGCAGGGGAGGGGGGTGAGGCATGGGTGACCTCGGGTGTTAGCTGTCTCCTGTGTGTAGTGTAACGAGTGCCAAGTGGCAATGCAGATTTTTTTTTTTTTTTTAGGTTCCAGTATTTATTCTTCTTCTTTTTATTTATTCCTAACATTTAGTGGTACAGTATACACATAACACAGTTCAGCCAGGTAGTCACCCAGTTGACTGTGTGTGGTTACTGTGCTCTATGCTGTGATGTCACATATGGGGGAGGAAGTGTGTGACTGGCCAGTTACAGCTCACTGCCTCAATACATACATTCACCTCCCACACACACACACACACACCTATGCTCTTCATTTTTTTATTTGATAGTTTTATAATATATTTTCTTTATTTCTAAGTCACACTAGCTTACAGTACTTGTAACAAAGGCAACATGCCATGCCACATGCCACCTTATCCCCGGTATTTCCTCCTTTACAGAGTTTTGACTTAACTTTAAGGGAGAGAGGATGTTAAAAATGTAATACAGAATTATCATTAAGTGAATTATGGCTAATCAAGGGATACTTGTATCTCCATTACGAAAATTGTGAAAGATTGGTTATAAATTTAATGAACAGTATCTATTTCTTAATGTGACAAAACAACCAATAATGTGTATACAGTCCATAATATTCTGTCCTTAAATACAGAATCAGAAAAAAATCCAAAATCAAAATGGTCACACGTTCAAAATCCCTGCCAAATTAACACATCAATTTCTTAAGACCACTGCTCTGTTTTCTGTAAGCTGCTTCCCCTTTATAGCTGTATATTTGAGAAGTATTGGTTCGGTGCATTTCTCACCTATTTTTGCGGGTTGTGGCCTTATAATAATGACCAAGAACATTCCAAACAATATTATTCAGTTTAGCAGTATAAAGGCATGTTAAGCTTACCATTATGTAGAGAGTTGAAATACTATGATACAGTAACTACAGTGATTATAATACAGTAGGTACAGTAATTAGATAAATACAAGTCAGTGTAGAACCTAAGTGAGCATTACGGCATTGACTACTGGAGTATACGACAGCCACCAATATAAAGAAGCAACATATAAAACTGATGATGTTTTAATGATCCAAACAGAGGAATGTGGTAAGCTTCTTTATGACTGGTTTAATCAATGCCACAGAATAGGAGTAGCAATCTGCCGTCTACTTCTATACGAGAAGATCAGTACAGGACAATACTCCTGTATCTATAATCGGGAAATGTCAGTGATTCAAAAACTGCCAAAATAAAGTGTATAATACATCAATCTGCTACCATGATATCCAGCAGGTCAATGGTCCATTATACCCAGCTAACGTACAACACCTTTCACTTTATTGCTAAACAGTATCAAGGTCGGTAGTGTTGAGCTGAACACAGTCCTCTACAAGTGATACATTTTCAAAAATTTGCACCAATAAATACAGTACGTGGTTTTTATGTACAGTTTGTGTTCAATAATGTAATTTCTGAGTTTTATGTATACAGTACTTCCTGTTTTATCACCATGGTGAATGCAAGCAAAAGGAGCCATGGTACATGAACAGAATGAGTGCATAACTGTACAAGCAATGTTGATAAAGTAAAGTAAGCAGCCACTACACCTCAGACTCATGGGTGTAAACACATCAGTTCATAATTATTTTTATTTGTTTTCATATTCCATGGAGCTGGGTATTAAATTGTAAATGTTGCTAAAATGGTTATGAAAGTATGATTAATAAGGGCATAAATGTTTTGCTGTTTGCCCTCAGAAAAACTCCCTGGAAAAGCCAGACATTTACAAAACCTGGATCCAAGTTCCCCAAGTACTCCAGTCTAACAGGAGTTTACAGTACCGATACATCATGGTCTTGTGGGGTTCCTATTATTTTTTCAACTGTTCTGAGTACAGTATGTAGCAGAGTGCAGTCATCATGAAGCAATAAAAATAGGTTCAGTTGTTGGCAGACTTTAATAATGGTCATCTTACATCCAACTGTACAGTATAAAGACTAAGATAACTAACCTTCAGATCTTGTCTGTTTATGGACCAGCCCGCAGCCTTGAATAACTTCACTGCGTCTACGGCATCTTCTCGTCTGCCTTGTTTTGGAACCGATCGCTTAAGTTGAGTGCACAGACCATCTGCGTCTTTCTCATAATGCTGAAAATAAAATATGACGAATGAAGCACTGCACAGTAATACACACCTCTGGCACCACCCCTACAGCTGTTGAGTTGCAAGTTTAATCTAATATATCTTTGTTAAAGCGAGTCAGACTCCTATAGTACTGTACTCACACCTGTACCAAATATAAACCAAATTAAGAGTACCGGAAGTTACACAGTGCCACAGTTGATGAGTAAACGTATGGAAGAGTTAGTGGAGGACAAAGAGATGTTCCTTTTACTAGATGGGAACAGTAACTCAATATACAATAAATACAAAATATACAATTATACTTATCTATCACAAGTACAAAATTTTCCATATCTATACGTAAGAGGTAGAATTCACCAATATCTATATTATAACTATTTCATGTCCATATATTCACTTGCTCTTTAAAATTCCAGCCACAATCTAAAAGTTTTACACACAAACACACACACATGCAGTGTACTGTATATTCATTTGTAAACCTGTATGACAATTTTACTAAATAAATATTATTATTATTATCATCATAAGAAAAGTTCATAACCTGGACAAGGCTTCTTACCTCAACCAGTTTTGTTAGATGTTCAAAAAATTCTTCTTCATCAATGGTTAACTTGTTGTCTTTGTATATAACTCTATAATGCTCAACCTGAAATAGAAACTAAATCAGTAACCTTTTAAGCTTTAGTAAATATGAGTTGCAATAATAAAATTTCAATACCCTGTACACTAATACTGTACTGTATTGTCTGTACAGTGAAAGAAGTTGGTCCCATAGGCATGACTGCTTGTTAGGGGCAGTGTGGATACAGCACACTGTATACTAAGCCTTCAGTACACAAGGAAGCAGCATGGCCGGTACTGCACTCGACCGCCTTCATTTCCCCAAGTTTTAAACTTAGGTACCCATTTACTGCTGTGTGCATTGCTGACACAACATTGTTTTGGCACGTGTGTGTGTGTGTGTGTGTGTGTGTGTGTGTGTGTGTGTGTGTGTGTGTGTGTGTGTGTGTGTGTGTGTGTGTGTACAATATGTATTTACTGTACAGTATGTGTGTAAATACAGTATATATGTAGAAATGATATTTCATTGTGTGACTATGGACCTGTAGCTCAGTGAAATGGCAATTCTGATCCCCCAAACAAGCAATTTAAAACATACAAAAATTAAAGCGTGCAACACCCCATAATTTTTGTGTTGTAGCGACTGAAGAATAACTATATTAGGAATTTAATGTAATATAATATACTTAACGGATGCTTATAGATTTTTGTTACGAGTTGTTTTTCTCATGTGACTGTTGTTGAGTCGGCTGGCTAACGCGGCTGAACTTGGTTCAAGACTTGAGTCGAGACAGCTTTGTTCAGTCAGCCGGTATATATACTCGTTGGCGGCCTAGGAATGGCCACTCACTCTCGCTCTGTGCTTGAGCACAGTTCTCCTCGCCACACCAATAAACTGGCAAACATTTGCCTGAGTTTTCCTGGACCAAACACTGCAGTGTAATGTACTGTATGTTTAAGTTCAGAGATTCAACACTGGCATGATAATGAATTCTAAAGTCCGCAACACAAACAGTACTTACTGGTAATAAACATAACTCTTTACACTAACGCACACAGAGGTTCCAAACACAGTGTCCTGTCAACTATGACATGACCCTTTAACATGTAGGCTAGATTTTAAAAGGAATAATACAACAGACAACAAAAACTTACATGAATGATATGTTGAAGGGTAAAGTAGAGGGCAAGAAAACTGATCTAATAAGTGGTGGAGGTCTTAAAGAAAGTGTTCAATTTTTGTAGAAAGACCAAGGTTAGTTCCCCTACCTTGCCTTCGTAGCAGACACAGAGGGTATAGTCGCCAGGGAAGTTTGTTGACTCTCGGACAAGGAAAAGACCGTCCTCAGGAGGATTTAACAAGCTTTCTGCATCATCTCGGGTAATTTTACCATGGAACCAGCTGAGGAGATAATTAACTTTAGAATTACAGCAGGTTTGGTTGGAGTTTAAGTTAGGTCAGTCTAAGTTAGGTCAGGTCAGTTTAAGTTAGGTTAGAATGATAAGTTATTGTCCTTCACACAAGCTATAGTAAAAAATACCTAATCAGCATAACAAGTGAAATTAACCAGATGGTAGATGAACCAACTTTGGGGGTTGGGTTGGGTTGGGTTGGGTTGGGTTGGGTTGGGTAAAGCTCAGATCCATTCTCTAAAGTACCTTAGTTGAAAAATACACCTTAAAATTTTATGCTCATTAAAAAAAGATAATCAGAACATGTGACAATTTGCTGCAGTTAATCATAAAGAAAAACTCTCACATTAACACAAAAAAATCATCATTATAAATCTCTTGTCAAATAGTTTTACTCTCTGTTCTCACAATAAGATACAGTATACAGTACAGGTTTATATATGGTGTTTACAGTGACAATATTACCATATCAGACTCATAATGAAAAACCATTACACCATCAGATCTGTATATTTCATCCTTCTGAGTTCCCTCCTTTGTAATTAGTGTATCATGAGTTCCCTCCTCCTATGTAATTAGTGTACCATGAGTTCCCTCCTTCTACATAATTAGTATACCATGAGTTCCCTCCTTCTACATAATTAGTATACCATGAGTTCCCTCCTTCTACATAATTAGTATACCATGAGTTCCCTCCTTCTACATAATTAGTGCACCTCATCAACTCCCTTCTACCATAAGTCTGAACTGTTCTGTCTTCATTTTTAGTCTGATAACAGTATGAGTTTCACCTTGTTCTCCAGGCACCGAAAATGGTCTCGAGTAATCACCGAACTTGCGTGAATTAAACGGTAGAATGGAAGGTGGTCACACATACGGTACTGTCACTCGGTAAATACACACACTTTTTTTTCTTTGTGGTGAAGATAATTTGTACCTCTGTCAGCCTCTAAAAGACTCAAGTTCGTAAACAGTCTAAGAGAATCAGGGCTTTACTAAATACTGATGACGTATAACAAATACACTATAATGAGACTTTTATTTAATGGACTACTGTATATATGAAAGAGTACAGTCCATTATATTGAGGTCTATTAGATGTAAAACCTCAATATAACAGATTATACCCATTACTTATGTTCGTTAAATGGGGGTTAATACTGCACTGTATAGAGGTAACTAAATACATGAGTAATAATTCACAAGTATGACGGCTGGACAAGGTGTATGTACTTACGCCATGGTATTCAACTTGACTTCTTTTCTCCACTCCATTACGTATGATGTGGGTATCATGCCTTCCTCTCCATTTCTGTTCCTTGCTTTAACCCAGTTTAGATCATTGGTCGGTCTAACAATGGTTAATCTGTCCATCTTGAGAAAGGGTAAGTCATCTGCAGACGTACCAGAGAAAGCAAAACGTGCCACAACCTCTGTACCAGGGGCCCAAGTACCCTGAAACACAAATTTCACTTGTCAGTAACAAATACTGTATATTAAATTTCAGTCATCTACCAAGTTCTGTTGTAAAAAAATATAAATATCCAACAATAACAATTTACTGCTGTGTGCATATATTCACATGACTTATTCTAGAATAATAAGTACTAAGGAAGCACTCAAATACACATATCAATTAATGTATCTTCATAAATCAGTGTACACAATACTGTACAGTACACTGAATGCTATACTAAAGGCCTAAGGATCTATAAGGGGAAACTGGTGCAGGGGGAGTGTTCTGCATTCACAATTTAAAAACTCCAGTTCAGTCACATACCACAGATGACAGGCAAAGTTGGTTGTGTACTCCTTGCTGTACTGTATGTAGGCTTGTCAGTTCTTTTATCATGCGTACACCAGGCCACACAGCCCTTATCTTGCTTAACAAAATGCAATTCACTCAGACGGAAATAACGAAACAATATTAGGCGTTTTTTTTTCTCACTGAAATTAAATTAATCCAAACTCATATTAAAAACACCATCCCTCAAGTAACAATATAAAAACAGTATCACAATCCCCTTCACTTCATACCAATTATTTATTATGCGACTCATTACACCTTTATTATCTTTACCAGTACAATACAACATATACAGTACATCTCTCTGATTAACATACTGTACTCTCTCCTTCTTCATCAATCAGTTACTGCCAATCTGTCTCTAGATTGAGTGAAACAAGGACACCGGGGGAGGAAAGGGAGGCATGTATACAAGCCTTTACAGAAAACAGCCATCATTACCACCAGGTCTATTTCTACCACTGACCCCTGTGTACTACTCATCCAGTTGGTGTCTATGATATATTAGCACCTTCACTGGCTCTTGCTCCCCCTTCACCACTACACTATCAACATCATTACCAACTTTAGTGAAATTTTATCTACCGGTTATGTATTTTTTTTCCTTTGCACCCATTTCCTTTAATGTTCTTTCAATCTTCTTTCGTAAAAAAAGAAGGACCGATAATCTCCTATTACTGTACTGTACATATGTTATGGTGCGTCACTATGGATCACAATATCAAATTTAAGAATAGAGGAAACAGTCGCTGGACACTTTTGACGCCCCTTTTTGACACCGAATCAGTGGTGCAAAAAAAATAAATAAATTAACTTGTACACTACGTTGTGATGGACCAAAGTCAGTCACATGCAGATACAGAAGAGTGTCCAGTTCCTTCATATGATTTAAAATAGGTTATTTAAAACTGGGTGTCACTGAAATGGATCTTGACACTTAAACTTTCAAATGGTGGGCAACATGGTGAACGGATATAAATAGTGTTTTTGGCACGGCCACACAAACAACATTGGTCCATTTGACACTTCAGTATTTACCTTCACTTTCTACTCTGCCCAAAAATTAACATCGTTAACCTGTACAGAACTTACCCCCCCACCCCCCGTCCCCCCTCATGGGGCATTCTTAACAATTTTTTTTTCAGTACTGTACATATTTAGAAAATTTCTCTTATAGATCTATGTATTCTATTTTGAAGTGCTAAACACAGTAAAATAAAGTAATACAACTCCATCTCAGCACAACACATGGTCATGACACATAGAAGTTTTCAATGTAAAACATTATAACTGAGGCAACAATGACAAACCTCTAGGAATTATATTTCCCATATAAGTCCCCACCAGGGGGCAACTTTTACCACAAGACAATAGAACAATGGATGAAGCAAGAGGAGTATAAATATGTTCACCATTTACAGCAATTACTGAAGGTGTCATCCAGATGCCACAATGAAACAGTGACAGTTTTTGAAAATTATAATACAGTGGTCCCTCGGTTAACGAGCACAATCCGTTCCAGCAGGTTGCTCGTTAACCGAAAAACCTGTCAATCGAGACCATTGTTTCAATGGGTTTTTGGGTAATTGGTTCCAGCTCACCGAAAATTGCCTAAATTCAACAAAAAAAGTAGAAAAGTACACTTACTTTGAGGTGTGTATGTAGAAGGCTCCTGGATGATGATGATGATGATGATGATGGGAATTTGAATGGGGGTGGAGGAGAAGGAAAAAGAGAAGGCATTGGGGTGGAAGAGAAGTCACCCCATGGCACCATTTCACCCATAAAATTTTAGTTCTCTTGGTATATTTCAAGATTATTTTCTTTAAGTCAACACTGCACTGCATTATATATTGTTAATATGTAAAATATATTTCAAAATGACCAATAATTTGCTTGGAAACACAGAAAAAAAGCGTTTAGTTGAAGAGTCTCAAGCAAGATGTTACCTCCACTGAAAACAGAGGGAGACTAACGCCTGTCTGGTGTGTTAACAGGCTGGATGGCACGCCAGAAACTAGTTTCTTTACCTTCAATTATGTTCAATAATTGTTAAAATGACTAAAAAAGTTAATATTAAACTTTTAAAATTATTGTATAGTATAAACTTCTTGATATTCACTAAAATAGTAAGGAATTTAAGCCCTAAAACCGATTACTGTATTGGCGGACTAATACTACAGCTGGTGGACCGCCAAATGCAAGCGAAAACATGTTGAAGTCGGCTTGTAAAAAACTCGTTAATCGAGGGATTGCTTGTTAACCAAAGTTAAGAATCTTATGGAAGGTAAATCGTTAACTGAAATCTCGTTAACCGAGGGACCACTGTAATATCTTATTAGTCCTTAAGGGCCTTATCACCTCAAAGATTTTATACCGGAAGCACAACACAAAACAACTGCCACCTGAGGACAACATCAACCTACACCAACACTGCCTGCCTCAAGCCCCAAGGTACATATGCTTCATACTTAAGAGAGTCCATCAACCCACTGTGAAGGTACAGTATCACCTGCTAGAAGTTAGAAAATAAAGCAAACTGTCCTCACCTGGGTAAGACCCTCGAACTGGATGATCAGACAAAGAACAGATGCATACACTGATGGATGGAAAACACAAAGGTTCACAGAAGAGAAAGGACAGTGTGTTCAAAGTCTAATTTAACTAGCAACTGTGTTCCTGAAAAAATGTCTGCTGGCTGAATTTTTTGCTAAACAAGGCACATCCTCCTATACCGTCCCATGTTAAAAACCAAGATGTGTTGCAACTAAAAAATATTTCAACCCCAAAATCCATGTACAGTACAGTATTAATAACCCAAAAAATTCTGCCCCAAAATGTAAACTAACAATATTTAACTTGAAAAGCTGAAGATTTATGCTGCTTGTGGTTGGCTTAGCATTCATGATATAGATAATAGATTTATAAGAGCACACATGACTTGGATGTTCCGAGTTATTAGAGGGTTGAGTTCGTAGGTCATTCATTCACAACTTGGAACTCAGACACAATGTTATAAGAAAAATTTAGATTTCCAAATCGGTCCACAAAATTTATTTAACCAATAGTTAAGCTGAATTATATTGCTTCATGTGAATAATAAGAGTACGATTGTTAAACATTTCGAGCCAAACAAGCAACCGATTATTGTCAGCATTTCTCCTTCTCCAAACTCTTTGTTATGTCCATTTTCATCTATATTATTAATGTGTTTCTTTTCCATAATATAAGTTTATCACCATTCTTATGCTTGTCAGCCATTATTAGGGTCCACTTTCACATGATCAGGATATATTTTCTTTCACCGTCACACTCCACAGCCACCTCACCATTCTCATTTTGCTCGCTCAAGCTTGTGTATGTCATTCTCTTTGCCCAAGTTTTACAGAAATACAACATCATTATTTTCACAGAGTTGCAAATATATTTCTTTTGTGATAGAGGGAAGTTCCTCTTACAGCATTGGTGGTACAGCGGCATTGCGTGTATCTTTCACCCGGACACACGTGGGAAGCGTGTTATCCAGTATGACACTATCAAACATCACAAGTTTCCTTCTGGTACTCCGGTTTCCTCCTGTACTAACAGTAGACAAATAAAGTTCATAACAAAGTAACAAAGAATGGACCAAGTGGTGCAATGACAAATAATAAAAACAACTCCCTAAACTTCCTCCAGCCATTACCAACCCTTACAATTGAGCACCACCTCCAACACTGATCATGTCACCCAAGTAACAGAAGAGAACTCATCAATACAGCTCAGTTTCTCCAACCGTGTAAGTCCACATGATTACTTATGTATGCAGGGCATACCAAACAGGGAGGTACTACCCCCTGGGAAGATATTGGAAGCATAATGTGTTGTCTATGGTAGACCCTGCTGCCATATGGCATCACAAAAACTGTGACCAAGTCCCAGGTTGCTGATCTGACTTTCTGCCTCATTTACACACAGTTGCAGAGTCTCAATTGTTTCTGTTACTATTGACAACACAACATACATATATTGTATTGTTTCTCACTTTATTTTTTTTTTCATTTTGTATTTCTTTATGGTTCCTTATTATTATTATTATTATTACATTTTCGCTCCCTAGGCCCTGATGTGGGTCAGTGACCTGTGCCTGGGTGGGCTAATCCCCACAAAAAAAAAAAAAAATCAGCAACATCCTGCCATATACACCACTGCACCTCTTATGTCCCCACCCTCCACACACACTGCACATTATTGCTGCCAACACCTTTCTTACAGACAGCACATGGCCATTTGCCACTTTCCACCATGCATCTTTCACCCATAACACTAATAAATACTTTTGTTTTTGCCACATTCACTCTCATACACTTTGACTCCATTCCATTCTTCAATTTATCCACCAACTCTTCCATACTGCACTATAGTATCTGAGACACCAGCATACAGCTCCTCCCAGGCAGATAATCCTACCTTAAGTGCCATGACAGCATCTCTGTAACACCATGGTAAACGGAAGGAGGCTTATCACAGATGAACCCCTACTTTTTGTAGAAGGACCTCTGCCTTGCTTCAGAATGTATGTTTCTTATTGTGCATTAGTGTACTTGTATAGGATAATCAAGCGATAATAGATGTGAGAAAGAGCAACAGAAAAAAGGAGTTCATGCAA